ATAAGTGAATCCGTTGAAAAATAGGTCTTACTATTCCGATTTTCGGTACTTAGAATAGATGTGTATTTGCAGTTGCGGCTATTTCACCATCATGCGTGGGTGTTATATTAAATTAGATAAAAATAATATGAAAACAAGTTAAGAAGTTTCAGTCGGTGTGGCCGACAGATGTATACCCTCAGTCAATGTTCGATTATTCAAATATATTTTGACTTCTGATTATTCAAATTGTTGCCCCTCTATTGAGGCCACTATGTTCCATTTGGTATCGGACCTAAATAAATATTGCGACGTACTTGGTTGGACTTTTTCGACTACTTCCTTCACTTTATATAAGGTATGTGATGAGTTTTAAAAATGTTAAAATGTGTGTGAGGTACCAGATAAAGTCGACCGTACTTTACTTTATCGACCGTACATACTTTATCTGATAAAAATATTGGTATGGGATAAATTACAAGAAAATGGAGCATTTATATCCAATTGTATTCAGGGGGCTTGAAGTTATGATATATATATGTATATGTGTATATATATATATATATATATATATATATATATATATATATATATATATATATATATATATATATATATATATATATATATATATATATATATATATATATGTATATATATATATATATATATATATATATATATATATATATATATATATATATATATATACAACCTAATATTTGTGTCAGTTCTTGGTCGATATTGACAATTTTCGCACCTGACCAAGAACTGACGCAAATATTAGGTTGTGCATCGTTGGAGCAAAATCCGTTCTCTTTTTGTGAAGTAAACTATTTCGACCTCTTCTAGGAGAGGTACAAGAAGGAGTGGACCGATACTGCCCGTCACCGAACTCTATCAAAGTTTGATAATAATATTACGATGTACTTAGTTTGGACCAAATCGAATACTCCCTTCGAGAGTTGTCGTGGGCTGAGTCAGCAAAGAACCTATGGTATAAAACCGTTATTTTGATGAGTCACGTAATGGCCATATGCCTGGGTATAATAATTTCTACTAACTGCTCATAATGGTTTTGCCAATTGTCAACACGAGTATATATTCTCGAGAGTTCCTTGAATCCAATCCTAGACCTTACCTTTGACGTGGGCCCAAAGGAAGTAGTTGCAGGAAGAAGAAGATCTTGGTAACACATTGTGATCACCTTTTAGGGGGATTACCATGTGTCAATAGTACTACCGATTTACCGTAACTATTGATACAACTTCCTTTTTGGCAGAAGTGAGGTCCAATGACCCTCTTGGAGTTTCTGAGCCCTAGATGCGACAATTTTGCTGCTCTGGAAATGGGCCTTACCAGTCAAGAGGATTTTTCGGCGAAATTCCGGATAGTTTTCAATTAGTAAATGTTTCAAGTTCTTGATTACCGGTCGGCTTGAATGCTTGTGTTTCATAAGATTTAAGACCCATACCTATATTCAAATTACTGTGTGATGACGTTTATGGAATGCCGAATTTTAAAGAATGACAAGAAACCTATGGGATACAGCAGCACTATTCACATCACTAACATGAACCTTCAACTTGAAATTTTCTATAAGTTTCTATATTGAGGTCCGAAAAGTACTAAGACATCACAGAATGCTTTATTTTTTTAAGTGTAGCTGCAAGACCCGCAATCAGTATAGCGATTTTTACAATTGTATAGGATCTTTGAAGCCAAGTTTTTACTTCTCAAATTTCCGGGTAATATAAAAAAGCTCCTTTGGTTAGAAAATTCTGAAATAGTTTGTACTAAAAAACGAGTTCTAATCTGATCTCTAATAAATACACTTCACAGGATCCACAGAGATATTTTGGAAGAGTTACAAAGGGAATGTCAGGCTTCAGAAATCCTCCTTCAAACAGCTTCAATCCATTTTACTTTAGTTTAAAACCTCATTTTTATGTTTCAGTTGATTTTTTATTATCAGGCATTACACTCTTATATATATCGACTTTTAATATTGTGATCCTCATTCCATGTAGATTTCATTGTTTCTTTTATGGAAAGTGTCGCTGCGCGGGGATCTACAGACACTATTCCTCCCATAAATTAAAGTGCTAGGCATACAAAGTAGTAGCTTAGAGCTCTTCAATGCCGCTCATCAGAATTGCTGTGTTCATGCACAAATTCATTGAAATTAATTTCATTTAAAAATTATTTTCAAGAGAATACATGCTTGATTGGATGGGGGGAATGGAGGGAGTGAGACGAGTCAGTGGCTGATCGTGGTCATGCTATTGAGCAGCGGAGCTGCAGCAGACATTCGCCGTACTGCTGGCCGCTTCGCACAAGAAGCCTAGCTGCTGGCGAGCCAAGTACCTCTGCATTCTTTGAGAAGTGTTGTTATTTTTGTAAATGAGGTTGGTGTCTTGCATTCAAATGGGGAGGAATTATAGTTTATGTTCGACGATAAGGAGATACTACGTGTATAATCCGATGGCGGTTTTAATAGACTATTTTGGGAAATTAATTTGTAAACATGCAATGAAATCGTATATCATTTTGAATAGAAATGAATGATTCGTTTTCCCCTAAGAATTTCCAATTAAATATTTCTGATTTTTATTTTCGTTGTTTCGAATTTCTGGTAAAAGGGCTCATGGGCATTTTTTGATATGAGGTACGTGTTTTTATTTGCTTTTTTGTATTAGTTGGTCGAAAATTAAAATCTTAAAATCAATTCAATTTATTTGGCATAAATGGAAAACAAGTGGCGTTCTAAGTTTCTGCAGTTACAATTTCCGAATTTCGAATATTTACCTGAGAAGGTGTGTGATGGGCTGGGAAATTCACTCTAAAACGTTGAAAAAACTAAGTGTAAACCATATGGATGGATTATATGTGATGGAATAATTGTGTCTGGACTATGATAAATTGAGTCAGTAGACAGTACAATATATATGCAATAATTTGAAATGTACGTATATATATTTATTTAAATTTATTACAACCTAAAGTTTATAACCATTTCTGATTGATATCGAGAAATTAAAATCATTTCATTCCGAGATTGATTTATACACATTTTATTATCTATATTTTAAGTATATATCTAAATGAGCTGTAATTATATGCCTAAAGATATGCTTTGAAAACATTGCTTAATATTTTTACATTGTCAGCAGTGATGCCACTGACGCTGAAAAATAATCGTCGACACTAAAACATCCGAGAAAGTAACTAGTTTTTTTTTTGCATTTATGCATTTCTAATTTGGGAAAACCGTCTAGAGTATTTCCTCACTTAACTTATCCTTAACTTCGTATACTCTGTTTGAGTGATGTTTTTATACGCTCCACCTTGAATGATGATGTACTTACTTTGTCCCTTAATATACGTAGTAGACCCCATAAACTATATATATTCATGATCGATTCAAAGATGTCCGTCTGTCTGATCACGATACATTTATATTATATGGTTGGTATTGAATATGAGATATATCGGTCGTTTTCCTATAGCCCCCACATAATGGTGCCTCCGAATATTCAGTATGTTGATGATTTTTGCCACAACATTTTCACGGATTTGTTTAAAAATTGTTATTTGTAGTTCATAATGGATTCTAGCTCCGCTGGTAAAACATTGAATATGTTCTGGACCCTCATATAACGGTAACTTCCGATAGTCGGTGTTTTGATAATGTTTGCAAAATTTTTCCACGGATTTTTCAAAAAATTGGTAGTTGTAGTTTTATTCTGGATTCTAGCTCCGGTGGCAGAGTATTGAACATTTAGGTCCACGTTTTCCTATAGCGCTCATATGACGATACCCACCGATATTCCGTATTTTGATAATCCTAGTCACATTTACCCACAAAACTGTTTCAAGAAGATTTGGTAGATGACAATTCTTGAAGTATAAAATTGTCTATATAGGTTCCTGTTTTGGTACTTGGGGGGTCTATAACGTCCTCACTCGATTTATGGTTTTTAAAAGTTTAATAGCATTATCCTAACGGACTTACTGGTATTTGTAGTTTAAAGAGGAGCACGTTTGAATTCAGATACTTTTATATAAAAATGTTTTCTTTACCCAATGGTGGAGGATATAAAAAGTTCGGTCCGACCGATTTTTATTGTATTTTTTACTTGTTCAAAAACAACAATGACAGATTTGCAATATTTACTGATCGTTACTAGTATCATGATTCCAACACGGCGAAGGGAATGGTCACTTGGCTTTTTCCGTTTTTCAAGCATTTTAGGATATTTATTAATTTAATTAATCTAGCCGTCTGCCAGCCTGTCTATGCCCACGATAACTCTTAAGGGAAGCACTCCCCATAAACGGTAATAATAATGCGTTTCCACCAAAAGAACATGTTTGGAGTTACCTTACCTTTGAAGTGTCAGCTGCAAGTAAAAAATACAGCATAACTAAGAATGTTGAAATAATATTTTTTATTGGAAAACATGCATGCATAGAAAATATTGGCGGATTTTCTTAAACCTTGGTTCCCTATAAATGCTCAAATGCTGATGAACACTTAATTTTTGAATCTTTCTAAATTGTTTCTTTTTTATTTTCTATAATAATATAACATAACAAGTAAGAAAAGGCTATAGCCGTGCGGGACCGACCATGTGATACTAGAATTATAGACCTCGATTGGCCTATAACAGCCACAGCTTAATCAAGATTTTTCTGTCCATTTCAATTAAATATATTATTTTGCGTTCATCTCCAAAAACAAAAGGCTTCTATTCTGACCCTAACACCACCTCTATTTTTAATTTCGTAAGGATCGGGCCATAATTGCGACCTGTAGCGTGATTACAAATTAACATGGACAGGCGAACGGACGGACATACACAGCTAGATCGACTCAGCTCGGCGAGATGGGAAAATCCATATTTCCTATGTCGGGGTCCAATATTTCGAGAAAGAAATCAAATTGGAATACAAATAAAAAGATGATATCAGATATTAAATAATGTAAATTTTACTTATAATATTTAACATGGCTGAAGCGTTTAATAATATTCTGAGCCTAAATAAAACAGTTCCTTTTCCATACTATTTCTTTATAACATTCATAGTCTCATTTTAGTTACTATCCTCCGGTATACTCTTGCCCAGGCACCTACGGACTACAGACTCCAAAAACCACAACAATAATGAAAGCAATGTTAAACAGTTGATGCTATGAATGGTTGCAGAATATCCAAAGCGATCCGTTATAATACCTATGATAAAAAAACAAACAAAATTAAAATATCCTTCATATTTTCCACGGAATAACACTTACCCAACATTTGACCCAATACAAAATACGCCAATGAACTGAAAATCAACTGCAATCCCGAGGCGGCAGGCAAACGTTTCAGCGGAACATAGCTGGGTATGATAAGGGGAGAGAATATTGTACGGAATCCCTTGCCAAATCCAATCAACACAAAAACCGCCAAGACAACGCTGTAAGAATCTGTCAGAGTTACAATCAGTCGGCCTATGGATATAGCTATGATGCCAAATGCGAATAACACTCGGTTCGGCAGTTTCACTTTCTCCAAAGCAAAGGGTGCCAGGAAACGCACAGAAATATCTACACCGGCCAACAAGGACATCGCCAGGGATATCTGAGTATCGCTATAACCGAAACTGTTTAAAATGAACGGAGTCAATATGGAGAAATTTATTTCGCCAAACATCATTATGGTCATGCCCACGGCCAAGTTGAGGAAGGTCAAATCTTTCAGCAAATCAAAATCGAAAAACACGACTACTTTTTGCCAGAGCGACATGCGGTTGTTGGCCTCTTCTTGCAATTGCAATTGGGCTAGTTCCTCCTCTTTCCGTTTGCTTTGCAGCAAAGTCTTTTCCTCGGCGCATGTGCAGCGGGGATCATTGATAGCCGTATTGCTTACGTAGCGATTTAAATCTTCCTTTTCACGATTAAAGTAATTGGGTTTGGCCAGATTACTTGGCCTACGCCCACCCTCATAGATTGAACCTTTTCTGAGGTCTTTCACGGATCTTTGTTCTGCCAGCGATAGCTTTGAGCCATACCAACCATCGTTGGCACGGGTCATCATGGGGGTGGCGGGTTCAATAATTTCATATCCTGGAGTCTCGGGATCATCTTCATTGAATAGATATTGTGATGAGAAAATACTTCTCTTTTCAGTAATTTGTTCGAGATGCTGACAATGTTTACATCGGGGGGCGTCACAACTGTCCTCAGATTTGGTGGTTGGCACTTTGTCTTCATTCAATGCCTTCACGTTCTCAGATTTAGGAGAGTGCCAAAGAACCGGCTGAAATGTCAATGCACTCAAAAATGCATTCAAGGCAATTGCGGAAAATATGAAAATACAACCCTGGCCACCGTAGTAGCCCAAAGCAAGTCGTGAAATTTGAGGAAATATGATGGGACCTAAGCCTGTTATGGTCCAGGAGAATCCAGTGGCCCGTCTGCGCTTTTTCTTGAAATACGTGTTTACAGCCAGTGAACTTGCACCCATCGACAATCCCATTCCCAGACCTGGAAATACATTTTAAAGTTCATTCATATTCTATGCACTTCAATTCATTGGCTTACCATAAATACACGAAAAGAATATCAGAAACTCAACAAATGTCGTACAGAAAGCTGAAAACAGAATTCCGCTGAATGTGAGAATACTGCCCACCATGCCGACCTGCCTGAATGTAAATCTCCTAAACATGGCTCCATTGACCAGACCCACCAGGGATGACAGTGCCATTGCCACATTGAAAATTGCCGTGGTCTCCTTGGCTTCGAAACCGAATGACGTCATCCGTTGTCTGTAAATTAGTCCGTACTGTTGCAGGGCTGGAAGTACGGAAAACTATTCGCCAACACCTTGACATTTATAGAGTTTCGTTAAATTGTTGCATGGATTTACTTACGTTACTTAAACCAGCCGCAATACACACTACCCAACCCCATCCACCGTCAGGAGCTATGAAATTTGGTCCCAAATCGCTTTTGTCTCGTCTTTTGGGCTTCTTCGGTTTAAGTGTTCCATTCGAAATGCCAGTCTTGGAAACTATAGCAGGTTTTTCATTCGTCATCTTTACTTCGAATTTGTTTCTTGATTTGTGGGTATTTTTTTAAGACTAAAATAAAAAAAGGGATAACAATTCTGAAACGTTCTGGATTGTCTTGCATTGATACAAAAGGTTACAGTACACAGTTGAAAAATTAATTCGATAATGCTTATGGATATAATAGAATTCGTTAAAGAAAATATATTCTCAGTTATTTTAACAAAATCAAGTGATCTGAAAAGACCTGTTAAGTCAAATACTTAATTGTTCACAGAAGGCATACCTTGAGCAGGAGAGAGAAATGTAAATGTCGAAATCGAAATAACGGTTTTAAACCCTAGCTTCTTTCAATGTAATCCGTTTCAGGACATGAGAAGTTGGCCTGGATATGTCCGTCTGTCAGTCTGTGCTTATGATAACCGTAGAAGGTAGTTGTCGATTTCGAGATTACCAAATTTGGTATATCGCAATAATTCTATAATACATTGATCGAGTTCGAATATTGACGAAATCGCGTCACTCCTTCTAGTACCTTATCCACAAATACAAATCAATACCTCAGTAAAAGCAAACGTATCAACTCCTTTTGTCAAATGAGAAAATTGACAAAATCGGTTAACTCCTTAACCATGACAACATTGGTCCACATGTTCTTGTATCGGCCTTATGCTACCATATTCCTTCATGCTAGCTTGATGGTGGTGAAATCCTCTTGAGCCTGATTCATCCGATCGGATTAACACCAACTCTTGTTGTTTTATAGTAAAATTATCACACTGGTCGGATGTACGATACATGATGTATGTCAGTGAGGATACATTTCAATGTAACTAGCAAAAACACAAAGCAAGCGATTTCTTCGAGTCCAGAAAGGGTTACCCGAGAACTATATTAACTACATATACCCTACAACACTATGTGTTGGGGGTATACGTATGTGTAAAGCGGAAGTTAGCATAGGGCTAGACCTTAGGGCTGGGATGAAGCCTTCCAGTGTTGATCGAGTAATATTTATTTATATCTAATATTTAGTGGGTGAAATAGGCCATAACATTTGTGTTAAATAAAAGTCAAATTTTCTATTAAACTGCGAATTTTTTCAATCCCGGCGAAATCACAAATAGACGAACAGGTCAATTCTGACCGTTACGTAGATGCCGATAGTAGATATATCGGGTATATATAGCGAAATATATACAATATATATATATACAAAGGAAAGGAATGTTAGCTAGAATGATTATATCTCAAGAATGGCTGAACTGATTTTGACAAATTTTGTCAATTCAGAATGCCCTCTTGGCATAAAAGTATAAAATGTAAGAAAAGACATAAAAAGATGCCAATAATGATGTTGATGTAGATTTTGTAGTATTTTGCGGCATTTTTTTATTTTTTCATATTTTTTATCGCATGTGATTTTTTAAATTTGACTTATAATATTGAAGTGTACTTTTTGTAATATTTTTTTCACCCTACAACACAAGTTGGGGATATTATATACAGGTAGGTAGGTCTAGACTCAGAATGGCTAGGCCTATTGTTTTCAAAGATGTCCGCAATATATTTAGGGGTTGAAATGAACCAACAACTAAAAATGTTCCTGATTTTGCAGCCGTTATAAAGATCACAAATAGAAACCAAAGGACACGAAATCTCGCATGAAGTTAAAGTTTAGGACACGGGGTTAGAATGGACCACTATTTTGTGTAAAAAATACAAACATTACTTACAGGCGATATCCGTAATACAGAAAAGGCGAACTTCTGGCGTTTTTATGCTGATTTTGTTGACGAATATAGCCAAATATCGTAGACAAGCAAATCATATAGATGCGTCTAAATTTGAAGATACAGAGGGGCCTCTTACTTTTGAAGATGATCGCAAAATATTTTGGGGGTTCAAATTGAAGCCAATCGACACGCCTGAGAAGAGAATTAAAGACAGAATTCTAGCATTTTGGATAACCATTGGATAATATTTAGCTGTAAAATGCACCACAACAACTAACAGCACGACGGATTGCATACATATTGGGAAAATGCCCCTGGTCAAAATGCTAAAGGTAATATCCCCGTGACATAATTTTGAAAGCGAAATCTTCCAAAATGTACTTGGACATAAGGGAGCTTCTAACATATTGTACTACTGTAGGGTATCACATGGTCAGCCCCGCACGACTATAGCCTTCGCTCACTTGTTTTTATTTATTCATTATTATTATTTATTTATTTATTTTTTTAAATGGGGTTTTTACGGTAATTTGGGACAACGGATGGCAAAAATTTACTCAGAAAAACTTTCCGATTTTCCCCAAACCAGCGTTCGAAATTTCAGAGAGTCAAGTTTACACATATGTAAATACGCGCCTATGCATGGCAATATTGCCAATAAATCCTCATCATTATTTTTTCTATTTATTATTATTATTATTATTATTATTATTATTATTATTATTATTATTATTATTATTATTATTATTATTATTATTATTATTATTATTATTATTATTATTATTATTATTATTATTATTATTATTATTATTATTATTATTATTATTATTATTATTATTATTATTATTATTATTATTATTATTATTATTATTATTATTATTATTATTATTATTATTATTATTATTATTATTATTATTATTATTATTATTATTATTATTATTATTATTATTATTATTATTATTATTATTATTGTTATTATTGTTATTATTATTATTATTATTATTTTTTTTTTTTAAATAATTAAAGAAGTATCCAAAAATATGGGTTTCAGAAATCTTTCCTTACCATCGAGGGGGAGGAGGTATTTTTAGGGGTGGATTTATTTCTTTTAAATTAATGACAAATAACTCTTACTACCTACACAAAAATTTGTTTACAATTTCACCCTTGTCATATATAATTTTTTTTTTTTAATTCGAATCGAAATTAGGTTAAAGCTTTATTTCCAAGGATGATGACAAATGTATGGGAGGAATAGATAATACAAAGCAACCGGATTGCCAACCACTTGCATAAAAATATTAGAGATCATTATTATGACACCAGTATTTAAATTTCACTTCAAAAAAAAATAATAACTTTTCGTCCCAAAAAATTGTTGATTTTATCGGAACTTTGTGTCTCAAAATTTCAACACAAATCTTTGCAGTAAATAAATTTGTATTTCTGTTATCGGTCATTAATGTCTAACGCTTTATATATGATGGATCCGACGAACTTGTGCAACGTAAAATGCACCCTAATTTTCTGAGGAAAATTATTGACAAGTTTTTAAGAAAAGCAATATTTTAATCATGCTATGCTTTTTTGGTGTTTTCAAATCAAATGAAAATGTTTACAATCAATTATATTTTTTATCTCAAGTTTGATCTGAATCTGAATTGTAAAATCTTTAAGGTACAACAACTCGGAAGTTAGCACTTTTCTCTCTGTAGCGGATTTTCCCAGATAAAAAAATGTAAACATTATTAAATTTGCTCCACTACTATTCATTATTTTACAACTCAGTCTAATAATAAAAAAGCAATTCACTTTCATTCAAGAGTCGAGCGGTAATCGTGACGTAGTTGATAAGTTGCTGTTGGCGATTACCCCACGTTTTCTGATTAAAGAACAAACCAACAAGAAAGTAAATCCGACGATACTTACATTCCTGTGAACACCGTAAAGCCAGACTGTATCCTTTTTAGCTGTTTTCACTCCTTCAATTAGTGGACATTAATTTCAAGGATCTGATTTTAAACTGTAACTGATTTTCACTCTTATATTTCAAACCATTTGACATTTTCGTCTGATTTCAATCAAAGTTATTGAAAAAAGACGCTGGTCATCGCGTACGCACGCTTTTCTTCGATAGAGAGATAGAGATAATTGTGGGGGCAGACAAACGAATCGGCACAAGATTATCACAAGTTTGTATTTTGGCTGTTACGTTACGTTTTTTTTTTTTTTTGTCGTCGTCTTCGTTTTTGTTGTTGCACGTTTAGTTTTTTTTAAAAACTTATTAGTTTTCAATTGAGTTTTTTTTATATTCTTCCGTGAATTCTCGATTGGAGTTGTTTAAAGATCCGCACCCGCCGACAAACTAAACAATAATATTTGGCGATAGCGTTCTTTAATTTTATTCGACTTAAATTCAAAATTTGAGAGTGTTCACCTTAACTCACCGTTATCTTGGCAAAAATATTTTAATATTGCTCTCAATCGGCTATGTCGATTTGTTGTTAGTATTTGACATTTTGGGGTGGTCAGATTAAATTGAATTAAATCGAATTATTAAAGGGTGATTTTTTAATAGCTATAGGAAAGTGTTTGAAAAAACATAACATTTGGAAAAAATGTATCAAATCTTTATTTGAGTTAATAGTATTGTCCATATGAATGGATGTTTGAAGATAATTTCATGAAAATATTAGAAATATTGGTCCGTTAGAAATATATAGCCTCCATAAAAATTGAATCGTACGATATAGGCGGCCAATAAGTCCATTGTTACGCGTGCTGTGTGCTATGGCATTTGGATAAAACCATTGCACCATGGACCCCACCAAATATTGACCTCATTATCAAATTTAACTGTTATCCCTAAACTATGTACCAAATTTAATAACATTTAGTACGCATACCCGAAACAATCTACATCTTTCCATCCTAGACTCCGACAGTGATCTGAAATCAGTACCATTTAGTGCTTTTCGTACAATTTTAATACTTATTGCAAAACCGTTCGAAACCACAATCGTAGACACCAAAAGTCATCGTAATATAAATTTCATGGTTTCAGCTCTGTCCCTTCGTCCAGTACCAACTTTAGTTTAATATAGTTCTTTTCGAACAACTAAAGTAAGTATTCCCAAGCCCACCTCCAAATCAACTAATGTCAAACGATTATAACATACTTTTCCAGAACCACCTCCATATCTCAATTCAAAATACCAACAAAATCAAATTTGAGGATTTCGGTTCTATTCCTCCACCCAGTACCAAATTTAGCACCATTTAGTACTTTTCGTAGAAATAACGTACCCACTTCCAATCCATCACACAGATACCATCAGTAATCTAAATTTCAAATTTTTGACTCTATCTCCTCTCGTAAAATTATAGTACACATTTTCGAAACCACCTCCCCATGTACAACGACCCTAATACAAAAATTCAAATTGCAAGGACGATCTGCTCACTCAAAATCAAATTGTACCAAATATACTAACGTTTAGTACACATAAATACGAATCAAAACAATTTCTTTATACCCTTTGCTTCAAAAGCAATCTTAATTCCAATTTTCGTGATTACAGGCCTATCGGCTCTCACAAAAAACCCGAATTTTTTCAAATTTCCAAAACTACCTCAATCATACAATCCCATAGATATTTCAGTATTCCAGCTCTATCGATTCACCACAATTCCAGCTTGAACATATTTTAATACCATTTAGTACACATTTCAATAACAACCTCCTTCCTACAATCCAATAGAAATCGTTTTCCCGAATATTAGGAGTCCAGCCCTATCGCTTCACCCAAATCCTTATTGTTCCAGATTTAGTACTATTTAGTACACATAGGTACGACTTTTCAAAACCAACTACATACCACAATCTTACATTCCCACAGTAACCCCAATTAAATTTCAGAATTCCAGTCCTTTCGGTTCACCCGAATCCTAATTGTTCCAAATTTAGTACAATTTAGTACATATTAATACGAATTTCCAAAGCTTCCTATATACCCCAATCTTACACTTCCACAGTAATCCAAGTTGAAAGTTTGGCATTCCTTCCTTATCGGATCGCCTAAATACAAATTGTACCAAATTTAGTACAATATAGTACAGATAAGTACGAATTTCCAAAACTTCCTACTTCCCAATTCCCAAACTTCCTACACAACCCAATTCCATACTCCAACAGTAATATCAGGATTCCAGCTCTATCTAGGTTCAAATAAATCCAAATTATGCCAAATTTAGTACATTTTGGTACATATCGAAACAAATGCTTTCTAATTGGGATATTATATAACTTCTTAGTTACTATTATCAAAAATTATTACATTTTGGGACAGGTACAAGAAGCTGTGGGCCAATATTTTCCATGATCGCTCCTGACACGCGATCGCTTTTGGACACGCGATATGCTTCATAAATTTATGTTTGCATATATTGGGACGTGAACAATTAAAAAAAAAACAACTTTTGTGGCAGAGGTACGGGTAAATTTTTTCCATTTTTGATCCTTTCTTAAAAATATTACGACGTTATTTGAAATAAATGAGACACATCCTTCAGAGTTATACTGTAAACTGACGGGCAGACATGACAATGTCCAAAAACGGATTTCGTCCGAAGACCAAATGATATACCAAATGATATACATGTAAAAAACAATAGTCCAACGGATTACCATCACCATGGCCAGCGCTTGAATTCTGGTGGCCAACCAAAGGTGCACATTTTCAGCTGACCTCTTTGGCAAGTAAACACGATCATTTTGTTTGTTTACAAACTGCTGTACAACGAATGTTTTCTCATCGGAGAAAATCAATTTCGGCAGTTCACGAAGCAAGCGAAGCACCTCATTTGCACTTTGAGTCTTTTTCTTTCTGTTGCGGTGTAAGTTCTTGCACTTTTTAAAATTTAAATGGATTTACCCCGAGCTTATTTTTCAATATTTCCCAAATGGAATATTGTGATATGTTCAGCTCAAATAGGATGTGTGGATAACTTCGGGGCTCTAATCTGTTCCGAAGAGCGTATACTACTACTGCAACATATATTACGGCATGGCTAAATCAACTTGGGGATCATGTGGATTAAGAATATATGCTCGAAATCTTACGAAAACGTCCAGCTATTCTTAAATGAAAACACAAAATATTGTAAATTATTCTATTTTTTATTTTCTAATATTCCTACTTACAAACATAATAACAAAACAACAACATATATCTTAAATAACAACTCTAACAATCCAAACAGTCTTTTCGAGAGAAAATAATTAATTTTTTTATTAAATGCCAATAATTTACGAATCACTTGCCGCCATTCCTGTGGCCTTTTTCTTCAGCATTTGCCTGACCAGCGATTCGATTAGCCAGAAAAGTAATGTCACACCCGTCAGCACGTTTATAAAATGAATGGTTGTCTTGTAGCCAAACTTGTCGGTGACGGTGCCCAACACTGGTCCCAAAGAGAACGAGACGATCGAGTTGAATATCAACTGTAGACCCGTTGCTGCCGGCAATCTCTTCAGTGGCACATAGCTGGGAATGATAAGCGGTGAGAAAATAGTGCGCAAGCCCTTGCCAAAACCGATCAACATGAACAGAGCCAAGACAACGTTGTAGGAGTCGGTAAATGTCACGGCCATTCGTCCAATCGAAATGGCTATGATACCAATGGCGAACAAGACCCGATTGCCGAGGTTAACCTTCTCCAAGGCAAATGGTCCCAGGAAACGCACCGAAATGTCAATTCCCGCCATCACAGACATGGCTATGGATATCTGGGAGTCATTGTAGCCGAAGCTGTTCAGGATGAACGGTGTCAGAACTCCGAAATTCATTTCTCCAAATGTCATGATGGTCATGCCCACGACAAGATTTATAAATGTGAAGTCTCTCAGCAGATCCAAGTCGAAAAATACAACAATTTTTTGCCAAAATGTCATGCGACTTTTTCGCAGCTCCTCCTCCTCTATTAGGGCCTGTAATCGGGCCTCTTCTTGGCGCTTGGCATCTTCGTTGATTTTTTGCAAAAGAGCTCTCTCCTCGGCACAGGTACAGTGGGCCGAATCCGTTTTGGATTTCACGCTGATTCGGCTAATTTGACGCTGGAACTCCTTTCTCTCGCGATGGAAATGATTGCTCTGAGAGAAATAACTGTTCTGATCTGGTTCGTGGCTTTCTTCAATGCTTTCCTGTTTGGATAATTGTTTCAACAACCTTGTTGATCGGTAGCGAGGCGCCGTTGTCAGCGACAGTTTCGATCCAAACCAACCGTCATTAGCTCGAGCAATCATTGGGGTGCCGGGTTCTATAATTTCATATCCAGGTGTTTGGGGATCATCGTCGTTGAACGTGTACTCCGTAGAGAAAATTCCGCGTTTTTCCTTCTTTTGACTTTGGCAGTAGTCGCATTCGAATGAATCGATTTCATTGTTGGCATCCGCAGACTTTTCTTGTTCCGGTTGGGGGGCATGCCACTGGACTGGTTGCAAAGTCAAGGCACATAAGAAGGCATTCAGGGCAATGGCTGCATAGATCAATATCGTGCCTTGGGGTCCATAGTAGGCCAACAACAGCATTGAAATATGAGGGAAGACTATGGGGCCCAGACCCGTCAGAGTCCATGTAAATCCGGTGGCCTTTCTGCGTTTGTTTTTGAAATACGTGTTCACAGCCAGCGCATTTGAGGCCATGCACAGGCCCATTCCGATACCTAGAAAAATGAAAATCGTCCATGAATACCATAATAGCGAGTGTCAAAACATTAACTTACCATAAATCGTGGACAAGCAAATGATATATTGGACGAACGTTTCACAGAATGCCGACAGAAATAGCCCCGTAAAGGCCATAACACTTCCCACCAAAGCCACCTGCCGAAACGAGAATCTCCGGAACATGGCACCATTCACTAAACCGATCAACGAAGCGAGAGCCATCATCGCATTCACGATTGTGGTGATTTGCTTGGCATCGAAGCCAAACTTGTCCATTCGCTGTCTGTAAACGAGGCCGTATTGTTGCATCGGCGGAAACAGTGAGAGCTATTGGCAAATGAATTGAACGTGGTTTAGTCTGAAACGTTAGTTGTCTAAAACTGCACTTACATTACTTAAACCGGAAGCAATGCACACCACCCAGCCCCATCCGCCATCGGGAGCTATGAAATTGGGTCCTAAATCGCTTTTGTCGCGTCTCTTTGACCTCTTTTTCTTCGGTTTTGTAGTTTCTTTATATACTGGAGCATTTTCCGCAGCCTCAATTGTAACTTTGCTTTGTGCCATTCTGTCTGTCGTCTGGTTGTACGTTTATCTGAAATTAAAAATAAATATTGCAATTTATAATAAAATATAAACATTAAAGCGGAAGTTTCGTGATCCTATGTATACCCTTTACGGGCGACGAAGCACGAATACTGGAACTGCATATTTCATATTTTTTCTACATCTAGTTTTTGAAACAAATTAGGTTCAAACTGGAACATAATCTCACAATTTGTGGTAGTTTTATAATTTTTAAAAATTTTGATTCTTGGTGAGAGAGGGAACGAAAGGAGTGAACCAATAGATCAAAAACATCTTCATGCAATTTTTGCTTATTGGAGTGAGGTATGAGAAACACTGGGCCAAAATGTTCCATCTTCAATTAGTCTCACATAAATATAACCACAGGCCATCACTTACATCACCCTGGTTTGGGTTGCTAATACACCCCCACACACGCTCTAGTGGCAGGGGGTGGGAGGGAAATGCAAAGCGTTGGGAATTCACCGAATGGGAGGCAAATGCTTGATAGCTACATCATCTGACATTAGTATTCCGAAGTTAATCCCCAGCAAATGGTTTGGAGGGCTCTGGAGATTGAAAATGAAGCTGTAGAATGGTTAATTTGATGCCATAAAACACTTTTGGAATTAAACAATGAGAATATTTAAAATTCATTAATTCGTCCAGCAGGAGAGCCACCGCTTCATTATTTTATATTCTGCTTTCTTTCGGGCGCACAAATGGATGATAAATGGATGGATTTATTTGATGATTTCAGCAATTTAATTAAAAACTTCGTATTTAAAGTTCGGAAAGTTTACTACAGCCTATGGCAAAAAAATTTGATGTGTGTGTGTGTGTGTGCGTATGAATAACAGTTATGTTGTCATTAATCATACGCCACCTAAGTACCCCGACGGTCTCTCATCTAGTAAATCTACGAAGTGTCATCTGTTCCAACTCAAACATTCGATTTGTAGTAGTAGTGAGGACAAACTTAACTCGTTTTTCGGAAGGTTAATAATTTTAATATATTTCAACTCCGCCGGTTTCAGTTTGCAAACAAGTTGAAGTTGGCTTATAACAAGTTTTGTGTTCGTCCCCCATATTGCTGAAGATTTCAGTCACCTTGTTGAAAAGAATTGGCAGTAATATCCTACAATAATGAAGTATATCCATTTGTTGTTCTCTAAATAATTGCAGTTTATCATTTCGGCACCTCTGTGAACGGAAAACTTCCTAAAGAAAGATGTTTGTTATTTATTTATATATTTGTTATTTATATATATTTTATTTATTGCCAATTCCCAGGAATCGGGATATTGTCAACGGTTTTGGATTTGTCGTTTTTTGATTTCATTTTTAAATGCATAGAGGATGGAGACCACCCGAATCGACCTTAACGATATTTTCTACCTATCATAAATTCCTATCTTCGCAACAACGAATCTTCTTCTGTCATCAACTAAACTTGGTTATCAAATTGACTGATATTCGACATAATTAAAGAAAACTTGATCGATTAGCAAGAGTGACTCGCGGCAAGAGATAAAGTTCCTCGTTGTCCTGATATGACCAAAAAATAAAGCTAATTTGAGGGAGAATTGTTGAACCAACATTTAGGAGTGCAATATCGATCTGAATCGACCTTTAATAGAATTGATGTGAAGGAATTTCAACTTGTTTTGCAAACTAATTGTCACTTGCGATCACCCGCACATTCCTTATACTGACAACATCTGTGTGACCAAACAAATACAAATAAATCCCGAACATCAACTCAATGTAAATTATTTGCTTTTCTAATCCCTTTTCCTCCCCACCGTTCTCACTTAATTACTTTTGAATACATGTTGATTGCCCCTTGGCATTAGTTTCTATTTAGTCATGCATTAGTTCTATGCAATCACAGCGTTGAAAATCATACAACACAGCACTTACTTTAAGACATTTATGTGTAGCTGATAATGATAGATACGAGGCTCCTAACACTCCCGTTATGCGACGTTAGAAAAACAAATTATATATTTTTTTATTTATTTACTATTTTCCGCACACGAAAACACTTTTCAAAACAACAGAACGGAGCGATATATCTTTACTCGACGACGTACGTTAACTGACTTAAGAGTAGGAACGGCCCCCCACAGGTTTTATAGTTGGAATATCGGTGCGGAGTTGTCATGCTTAACCGTCATATCTCTCTTTCTCTCTCTCTCTCCTTCCTTGTACACTGCTTATCATTTTTTGTTTCAATATCGTTGATGTTGGACATTTAATAAAATCGTAATTTTCATTAGAAGCTATTTTCTCTTAACAAGTGTTTCCATAAAATGTTAGTAGTTTATTAATTTTTATTCAATTTATATTTAAAATTTACTCTATAGATTATTGTTTCACACTACCTTTGCCAACTTTAGCGACGAATCGATCATTGCTTGCGCCTCTGTAAATGCTTTTAGATATGGCAAATGAAAATTTTACAAAGTCATCAGTAGCATACAACAAATAGATGGGCATTAGTCATTTTTCTCTTTACATTGGCCCCCATCGAAGAGAATTTTATCTAATGTTTTTATGGATGCCGTGGCAAGGGCCATATCTACCGCACGCTCTCTTAAATGAATCACCTTCCAATGACAGTTAGAAACTAACAAATAAAATATTTACCCCTGATTAGCAAAATTATTTAATCCGTGCTGTTTTATCTTTGCTGTGAGTGACGTAGGCAGTCTTGCACTTGTACTTTGACTCTCTCGCTCTCTCACCAATGCCATGGAAGAGAAATGTTAATGAAAGTATCATGACGGTGTAAAGTTCAATAATCTTTTTGGAACGTGATATTAGAACATTGATTGTTGGAATTTTAATAGCTTTTGATAACAAAACGAACTAAGTAATTTTGAGGGGGTATTACATCGTCTACACTGTTCGACAAAAATTTCTTGGCAACATAAATAAGACAATTTTCAAGGGTTGTACTGAAATAAACGTATGTGCTTACGATTTAATTAAGAACAAATATTTTCCTTTTGATCTGTAGCTTTTTTAATTTTTAAAACAAAAAAAAGTCGGTTTGTGGTCAGATTTATAACTTGACTATGAAAACTATTTTATTTGGAATCCAAGATTTTTAACCAGAAATTATTGAAAAAAAAACCCACGACTTTTGCGAAATAATAAATTCCGATAAATTTCATATTCATACCATATTTCTGGTTGAGAGAAATATTTAGATATAGGAAATATAAGAATCTTTTTGTTGTTTCGCAAGTTATGACAGGTAAAAGTTTTGAAAATTGTGAACTTTTGTAGGTTAAGTACCAGAAAAGGTTCGCAGATATATATCATCTTCACAGCAGATCTTGTGTTAAGAAAAATATTTGTGTAAAATTTGAAGATTTGAAATTTGAAATTCTCTTTCTATGAACGTTTTGTTTTTCAAAATCTTGAACCCAATGTACGGGAGGTGCCAGTAGAAATGGTCCGATCTCTACCACCTTTTTAACAGATCTTGTGTTGATGTAAATTTCGCGTTTTATTAAATTCATCGATATTCAAAAATTTGACCCTTTATGGGGTAGGTACCAGAAGGATATATCCCATTTTCACAGTAGATCTTGAGTTAGTAAAAGTAAAGGGATGTGTGAAACATGAAAAGAATCGGATGCTTATTTTGGATTTTATAATCGTTTTTGTTATTCAAAATGGTGACTCTTTTGTGAGGGAGATACCAAAAGGTGTGGATCGATATATTCCATCTTTATAACAGATCTTGTGTTGATAGACATATTGAGATGTGCCAAGTCTGATGTTAATTTCGCATTTTATGAGCTTCATGGCTAATAAATATGTTAACCCTTTGGAAGACAAAGACAATAGGACTCTTACATCACATTTTATAAGAGCAATAAGTATCAAAAATATATGTTGACCCTCTGTGCAGCAAAATGTGTTTTTAATTTTCGACCTTTTGTGGGGGAGGTACCAGAAGGCGTAGACCGATATTGCCCATCTCCGAACTCGATCTAATTTTGATAATAATATTACGATGTTTTCGTGCGTAAAAGTCCATGATCTCGAAAAGGACTTCCAGTCCTTACCCATTGTACAAAATTAAGTATCATTGAGTGTTTTTAGTAATTATAAAGTCCGCGTATCCCAATCCACCTTATACCACATACCTGCTTTTTAGCTTTTCATACACAATATAGTACACATTTTCAAATCCACCTCCACCTCTAAAAGTTACACACTCACAGTGATCCTAAAACCAAATTTTAAAATTTCCAGCTTCATTTATATACCAAGGACATTATAATTTAGTACCTTTCGTATACTTATTGTACGCATTTTCAGAACTATCTCTTTATCTCAATCTTTCAATTTCATCTTTCCACATTCATCAATTCACCAGAATTGTACCATATTTGGTACAATTTCTACACTGAAGTACATATTTCCAAAACCAGGTATACTTCCCAACGTTGACTTCCATATAAAATTCCAAGATTTTAAAATATAAAATTCGAATTTCCGAAAACTTTTTTTCAGAATTCTATCTTTATCCATTCGACCAATACGAATGGTACCATATTTAGTACCTTATAGAATTTATTCATAAATTAAAGAGAATCAGGGAGTAGTTTCATATAATTTGAGTATGTCTCCAAGATCCAGGATTTTTGAGTCATCGCTCTTCATCTTGGATGCAGCAGACCCTACTCCTCATGTAGGCAAGATTGATAGTTCATCAAAATCTAAACTTCCCAAGGAAGAAAGTGCCCAATATGGTGGAAGGAAAGTGGAGAATCGGCAAAATCATTCAGGGATGTCATGCGAATGGTCAGCACATCTGCTGGACACACAGCATTGATAATGCAAGGTGTATTCAAAGTCATTATAATGCAGAATCTGCGAAATATATTCAGAGGAAGTTAAAGGCAGGTAATCTATTACTTTTACTAATTAGACGACTCTGAAATAAAGAATTGTAGAGGTTATGGGATATACTCCCTTTGAAAACCTAATTTCTGAAGGACTTCTCAGGATATGATGTGGTTACACTTCTAACCACTTAATTTCCTGGGAAGTCCTTCAGAAAATTGGATGTATATCCTTTAGGGCTTGGCTCAACATTGTTTGAGATCCATATATAACCTAATTAAGTATGTATATGTATCCAGTGCAAACCTACTTTTAAGCCTAACGGTCAATTATTATTTATTTAAAAAAATAACAACAAATATGACAAACTGAAACCAAATGGGGAACTACATCTATGATTCAAGTCTGACAGAGCCTTTCTAAAATACAAAATAGTTCTTAAAATACTTAAAGTAACCTAATTAATATCAGGTAGGTGTCACCGGCTTTTGGCCTTTCCTAAGCATAAACTCCAACAGCCACAATACCAACGTCACGCAGGTTATGATATTCAAGAAATGAATGGTTGCATTAAAGCCATACTGGTCCGTAATGGTACCTAGCAAAATAAGATAATGAAATTTTTTCTTTAAAAACATATGTTCCAGGAAGCCCTTACCCAACATTGGACCCAACGTAAACGAGACAATTGAATTGAATATCAACTGTAAACCCGAAGCAGCAGCCAGTCTCTTCAGGGGGACATAACTGGGAATGAGGAGTTGGGCCAAAACCATACGCAATCCCTTGCCAAATCCAATCAGCATAAATATGGCCAACACAACGTAATACGAATCCGTTACGGTCACGGCCATCCTGCCAACGGTAATGGCTAGAATACCAATTGCAAACGACATGCTGTTCGTAAGTTTAAGTCGCTCCAAGGCGAAGGGAGCGAGAAAGCGTACAGCTATATCGATGCCGGCAAGCAATGACATAGCTATCGATATCTGAGTATCGGTGTAACCGAAACTATTCAGGATGAATGGAGTCAAAACCGAGAAGTTGACTTCCCCAAAGATCATAATCGTCATGCCTACCACCAAGTTGATGAAGGTCACATCCTTCAGCAAATCCAAATCGAAGAAGACGATAATTTTTTGCAACAGAGTTAAGCGATTTTTTCGAAGTTCTTCCTCCTGCTCCTCCTCCACAAGATGGTGATCTTTTGCAAGTTCTTCTAGCCTTAAATTCTGCAAGAGTCGTTGTCCTTCGGCACAGGTACAGTGCACTCCATCCGCCATCGATTTAGTGGATACTTTTCTTTCGCGATGAAAGTTATTCGGTTGGTACAGAGAACTCTGCGGTTCATGCTCCTGGAAGCCGACACCCTTCCCCACGCTATCTTGCTGGGAAATTTGCCGCAATAGTTTTGATGCTCTTTGGCGGGATGTATTTGCATTTGTCAATGATATCTTTGAACCAAACCAACCATCATTCGCTCCGGCTTTTATTGGAGTACCGGTCTCGATAATCTCATATCCAGGTGTTGTCAAATCCTCTCCGTCTTTGTATAGATAGTCTCCAGAGAAGATACTACGTTTACGTTTCCTTTGGCATTGACAGTACTCACACTCAAATATTTCGTGTGGTCTATTAACTTCCGTAACCGGACCTACTTTAGCTTTGGGGACATGTCTCTGAACAGGTTGCAAAGTCAAAGAACACATAAACGTGTTCAGTGAAATGCCAGCGTACACCAAAATGGTACCCTGAGCACCATAAACGTCCAAAAGAAATATTGTGATGTAGGGTAAAATAATAGGTCCGAGACCCGTTATGGTCCACGAAAAGCCGGTTGCTTTCCTGCGTTTATTTTCGAAATAGACATTGACAGCCAGGGCATTTGCCGACATGGTTAGGCCCAATCCGATGCCTGAAATAAGTATTTAGCCATTCATTTTGGGTCGACTTCCCATTATCGTGTTATCACCTACCGTAAATTGTGGAATAGCACAGCATATATTGCATGAATGTCTCACAAAACACGGTGAGAAATACCCCAGTAAAAACCATGACACTCCCTACCATGCCTACCTGCCGAAAAGAGAATCTTCTAAACATGGCTCCATTCACCAACCCAACCAGGGAGGAAATTGCCAACATGGCATTGATGATTGTGGCAATTTGCTTGGCATCGAACTCCAATTGGGACATGCGTTCTCTGTAGACGAGGCCATATTGCATTAAAGCCGGAAACAGTGAAAGCTTTCGTGGGAGAGGAGCAAAACATAAATTCAAAAGTGTTTGTAAATAAAAACGTGTACCCACATTGCTAAGCCCCGCCGCCATACACACAACCCAGCCCCAGCCCCCATCGGGCGCTATAAAATTTGGTCCCAAATCACTTTTATCGCGTCTCTTTGGTTTGTTGGCCTTCGTTGTTTCATTGTAGACGCTCTGGCAGTTTTCACTTTTCTCAGGCTGCTTTTCCATTTCCCCTAGTTGGAGTTATTTCTTCAACTGAAAATAAAAACGCAAACTCAAAATGTTCTCATTTGTATGGTCTGTAGGCCTTACATACCGAATCCTTACGATTTAGTAGATTTGTAGAATTGCCTTTCTTGGTGCCAAGACTTATTTTTGTAATGTTATTGGTATTGTTTTCTCGTTAAATTTGTTATATTATATTCATGTTAAGGCCAGAAAAGATTAGTTGGCTTTCGATTCAATATAATTTAAAATCTCTGCATTCGACTATTACTGCATTTATAATTACTGCAACTTGCACTTAAAACGAATTAAAATAACGAATAATTTTATTAATCTTTTCCGATGTCGCTTCCCTTTTCTCCCAACCGATGTGTTTAGCTGTCGACGACTCGAGTCTTGTGTAAAGTCCTGACTGAATTTATAGCGACTGTCGTAAATACACTTCGAATGAATATCAGTTTTCAATTAGAATGTCCAATTGGATTGCATTTTATAAGTGGCACTTACCGTCTGATTGCATTGGACCGGCCTGCGTACATTCGATTTAGTACAATTTTGGTACGAATTCGATAACAAATATTCAAGTGTCATCGTTAAACTATTCTTTTTTTTTTTCTTTTTAACGAGAACGAGATGAAGCTGTTTGTGCCGAGCAACCCATTAAAAGTTAATGTCAACATTCTACCGTCTTCATTACTAGTAGGTTGAAAATAATGAGTTAATACTTGGAGATATACATGGTCCGCCATATAACGTTTTCTTTTTAAATTGGTGCTTATTTCGTGAATGGTAACTTTAAGCTCAAGTCAGATTTGAGAGTTAATTAGTTCAACCCTTCCGCCGAACAAATATGGTTGGGTACTTTGAAAACAAGACAAAAACGTGTTAAGTTTGGCCGGGCCGAACTTTTAATACCCTACATTATAAGCTCAAGAAAATATTTTTATATCAAAAGATCTGGATTCGAATGTGTTTCACAATATGAGTGAGGTCGGTTGTTTAAAGTTTTTTTTAGACAAATCCATTGAAAAATGTGACTTAACAATCCAAATATCGAAAATCGAGATATACCGTTATATATGGGCTATACGAGAACCTTGACCGATGTATACAATTTTGCTTCACCGGAGCTACAACACATTACGAACCAAAAATACCAATTTGGAGACAAAACCCTTGGAAAATGTGGCTAAAACTATAAAATACAGAATATGGAGAGGTATCATTATTTGGGGGATATGCCAAAATGTTTGTTTTTTTAAATGTGGATATAGTTGAATTCCCCTTTTTTGGGGATTCTTAACCGTGAAACTAACAACTCTCAATTTAGAAAACTAGAGGGTTAAATTGTACTTGGAAGTCGTTTAGTAAAATTTAGTTGTGGTTGCATAGCTCATCAGCAATCAAATCTATTCTTTATGTGGCATAGAAGGGGGGAATACCTACCAGCATAAACGGACTTAATGTCGTTTTAACTGTGTTTCTAATCGATTTGATAAAAGAATAACATCACTGACTGGCGGGCTTGTTATCGCCATTTGCTGATAACAAAAGTCATTACATTATATTTGATTCACATAATCAGACATGTCTAGTTTACAGTGGCTCAAAGCATATCAATGGATATGCAATTTTGAATCTTTTACACTAATGTACACAATATATGATACACTGCAAAAGTTTTCATTATCCGAGGGGATTTTTTTTTTATTCTGGATGGTGTATTAAAGCCCTAGGCACGCAAACATTTTGGCCGCAGAGTTTGGACGTTCCAACAGGAATCAGCACCCTCGCACTCAGCACGCGCCACCCAACAATGGTTACAAAATGAGGTTCCTCGTTTCATTTCCAGCGCACAATGGCTAACAAAATCTCCGGATACCAATGCGTTGGACTATTGTGTCTGGAGTATTTTGGAAAGCAAAATTGGCACTAAAAAATACTAAAGAGTCTAGCACTTCAAGCAAGCAAGGAATGGGCCAAAATACCACAGAGCAACATTCAGGCAGTGTGTGACGGTTGTATTGGACGTTAGAAGGCCATAATTCGTGCCAAAGGTGACCAATTCGAACAAATCTAAACTTATTCTAAAACTAGATGCTATTTCCGACATTTTTTTGCTTCATTCAATAAAATTAAAAAAATGTAGAAAGTATAGCGTTTGACTTTGTTGCAGTTTTTTTTAATCTCTCCTGTATAGTGACCTCTTGCAAATAATTGTTCTATTACTTTTTTTGCATTACTCTTTGGGAAGCCAAATTTCAATAACTTATAACGTGATTTTTCTAGAATCTTTCTATTAGGATGTAACACCAATGATATTTAATCCGGTCTGAATAAATGATGACTCCTCCTAATTTTTATTCTAGTAATAGTTATTCAAATAACAACATACATTGCATACTGCCAGAAATAATTAACGGCGTTCAAGTTTGAGTTCGAATCACGGCACTGACAAACAAGTAACAAAAACGATATCAAATAATGTTCCCCGTAACTGTAGCGCTGTGTTTATTTGGGAAACTTCCAAGAGAATTTGACGTACTTCAACACATGGTGCAATGAAGTCAAGGTAGGCTTAGTTGAAAAAAATTGCAGTTAAAGAGGTCTACCTGTATGGATTGTAATGTCAGAATTACCATCAAAACAAATGCAACAAGTTGTTTAGTATCAACAAATAAAACAACTTTTGCTTTGATCTAGAAAATTTAATAAATTTGTAACGTTTCCTTTCAAAATCAAGTTCTATATTTCTCTAAAAGTTTATTTCGCTACAAAAAGTGTAAAATTTGTCCATACATACGTTGGAATACGCATCTTGATTACAACTGAATTGGAATATTTTCAGAACAATATTCATGTAATTGAAAAGAGCACACACACATGCACAAATTAATTTGTCATGTTAGGACAGGTAATAAAAAGTATTTAAATCGTTTCCTGCCTTGATTTCATTGTACCATGCTTCAAAATTTTGTTGGGGAGGCACTTTTTTTTGGAAAATTTCGAAAATTTTCAACCAGAAGAAGTGGACCGATGTATTCCACCTTAAATTATTGAGATGAGTGAAATTTGACGACAATCGGACTCTTAAATTGCATCTTATAAGAGTGGTAATTATTAAAAATGTTGATCCTTTGCGGAGAATGATGGAGGGGACATTGCCCATTTTCGCACCTGACCTGGCACTGACGCAAATATTAGGATTTGAAAGTTGAAGCAAAATCGGTTTATTCTTTCTCTTTCTTTGCAGTAAAATATTTTTGTGGGGGAGGTACCAGAAGCAGTGGACCGATATTGCCCATCTCCGAACTCGATCTAAGTTTGACAAAAATGTTACGATGTACCTAGTTTGACCACATCGTATGGAGGTATCGTGCGCACCAGACAGACAGACATATGGACGGACATCGCTAAATCGACTACAAATGTCCTGAAACGGATTTTTCCCAAAGAGACCTATGGTCTAAAACCGTTATTTCGATCGTATCAAATGATATAGCCATATTGTTGATGGTATAAAAACCGATTAACGGGGTTCTCTACGCCGTAAAATGTAGAGATGAATTGTTGCATACTTTTTGGCTTATATAAAAATAAATGAAGACGAAAACTTAATACAAACATCGAAATCTGTAATGAAGAGTCGTTAATGTAATTTTGTACCTCATTCTACAGGCATCTTTTAAATCCAGAAATAACCGCAAGCGTCATTCAAATTCTAAACGAATTTTTGCCGACAAAATTTCAAACAAATTTCAAAAGGCGTCAGACATTATTGTTACAACTCTGACAACAAAACAGTACGAAGCGGTCAGCTTGCAGTTTTATAAAATGCATTTTTATATTTTTGCCCTACACACTAATTGATTAATCTTTTAAAATGGAAATGAACGCATCATATTAGATTAAGCAACTTAATCAAACAAAACACAACAGCAGAAATTTTGGAGTATATTTTCCATATTTTTTTTGGCATGTCTGTTTTTCAATTCAAAACGTCTCATAACTGCAATAAAATTAAATGACAGATAATATTTTATGTATATTTTATTATTTGAAAGTAGATTAAGCTAGATATGTATTTTATTACGTCTACATATAGACAGGTTCAATGTTTGTTTTACTTTTTGAAAGTAATATTTTATATATATTTATTTTTTAATTTATTGTACTCTTGTTAAACTCAAACCAGTCGAGCATGAAGAGTCGCCGCCATAACTTATCACAATATCTTAATTTCCGAGCCATTATTAATTTAATTTTATGAATCAGTAATAACAAATCTGTCTTCCGACATCAAATTTATGTTTTGAACTTGGTTGACTTAGAATTTGTTTACAATAATAACAATTATAGCTTAATTAAAATCTAAAAACACCAGAAATGAATAATTATTTACCTTTGGGAGAATGGGATGTTTCTGCAAAAAGGCGGGCATTCTCTGACTACTGCGAACTCAAGATGTCATGGAATCAAGGAGGACCTGAGACAACAAAAACCATTAACAAATTTTATCGAGATTAAAGCTCATATATTTTGTGACATCTCAAAAACAACAAAACGAAATATTTTTTTTTTTTTTTTTTTTTTTTGATTATCGGTTTAATATATTAAAATTATTCAATTTTGTATATTCAATATCAATACAATTCAATAAAAAAAACTGAAGCAATAGGTTTAAAATAAATTCTGAGCCTTGCACGTTTTACAATAAATTCCACTAAAAATGTGGTAACTTAAGGCTGAAACAATCAACATTTTCTAGACATCACCGAAATATCCAAGCAATAATAAAGATGTCGAAATTATATTCACAATTAAGCGTAAAATCGAACAATTTAAGGTTGCACTTCTCAATATATGTTTAAACATTTTGGGGACCTTTTACCCGGTATCACTGCTTAGAATTGCCTGTCTCTGGTGACGATGTATATCCGCGGTATTTGCGTATCATGGCCTCCAGAAGCCACATGAATAGAGCCAAGACACAGAGAACATTAAAAAAGTTCAGAACCATCGAATAACTCGATTTATCCCGTATTAGACCTGCAAAGCATCAAATAAATCAATTTAAACTAATAAATAATATCAAAGTTACGCACCAACTATGGGGCCACATGCCATAGAAAAGATTCCGGACATCAATCTCTGCAGTCCCACGGCAGCTGGCAATCGTTTGAGTGGTACATAGCCAGGCAGGATGAGCGACCAGAATACCGTACGGAAACCTTTACTCAAACCGAGCCACAGAAATATGGCCACCATGGCATGAAATGTGGTGGGGAAGGAAAGAACTGTCCTCCCGATGCACATTCCCAGAAGGCCGATTGCGAAGAACACCTTGTTGCCCAATTTTATGTTGGCCGTTATGAATGGCACCAGAAAACGTACGATGAGATCGCACAACCCCAGCAGTGACATGGCCAGGGCTATTTGGTTATTCTCAAAACCAAAATCGGACAATATAAATGGTGTTAATATGGCAAAGTTAATTTCTGCAAAATTGATTAGCGTCAGACCCAGCGACAAGTTGAGGTAGCTGGGATCCTTCAATAGATCCAAGTCGAAGAATGTCACCATCTTCGTAAGGATTGACTTTTTCTCCAACTTAGAGTTTTGATCTTGATTTTCATTGTAAGGGAGTACCTTTACAGTTTCATCCACCGGTTTCTCTTTATTATTTTGCAGAGATTCCTCATCCTGATGTTGTCTCCTAACATGCCACCTCACTGGTTGATAGACCAGGGAGAAGGGCAGAGTATTCAAAGATAGGGCCGCAAAGCACAAAGCCGTATATCTCACACCCACACTGCTCAGCAGATATGTGGCCACATAGGGTAATACTATGGGACCCAAAGCGGCCACGCCAAATTGGTAGGAGGCTGCCGCCCGTCGTTTCTTCTTGAAATAGGTATTTATGGCCAATGCCGAAGCTGAAACAACAAATCCTCGCCCCAACCCTGTAACGAAAAAGAAAACACACACACTTTACATAATTTTTTTATCATTCATTCAGTCAGTCGCAATTACGACTTACCATAAAATACGGAATAGGCAAACAAATAAAACAGAAATGTGTTGGCAAACACGCATCCAAATAAGCCCGTAAAGGTTAAAAACGATCCCATCAACGCAACCTGCCGGTATGAAAAGCGTCGAAACAGAGGTCCATTGAATATTCCTGAAAATAGTCAAATTTTGAAATCTTATTGATTTTGGATTTTAAGATTAGCTAATGGCTTACCAGAGACAGCAGAAACCGCCAACTGGGTGTTGATAATTGTGGTGAGCTGGGAACTTGTTATGCCCATATCGTCCAAATGCCCGCGAAAAATAATGCCGAATTGTTGAGCTGTCGCAAATGTCACTAACTAAAATCGCAAATTTCACTAATAAATTATAATTATAAAAATGTACTGAAGATTTTAATATTGTTATCAAACTTAGATCTAGTTCGGACAATATTGGTCGACTCCCCAACAAAAGGACGGAATTTTCCAAAAAAAATATATATTTTATTGTACAGAAAGAGAAAGGATAATCCGATGTTGCTCCAACTTTGCAAATCCTTATATTTGCATCAGTGCTAGGTCAGGTGTGAAAATCGACAATATCGGTTCACTCCATCAAGTACCTCCCCCACAAAGGATCAAAATTTGGAATAATTATAACTCTTATAAAATGTTATATAAATGTCCCATTGTCTTTAAATTACACACAGCACAATATTTTTTTAATAACCCAAGGTCTGGTGTGAAGATGACATATATATCGGTCCACTCCTTCTAGTATTTCCCTCACAAAGGGTCAAAATTTTGAAAATCCATGAAGCTCATAAGACAGGAAATTAACATCCGATTCCATTCAGACTAGGTACATCTCAATATTTCCATTAACACAAGATCTGTTGTACAGATGGTAGAGATCGGACCATTCCTTCTGGTACCTCCCCTACATAGGGTTCAAAATTTTGAAAAAAAAAACGCTTAAAGAAAGCGAAGCATTCTTCTCTCTTCAAATTTCACACAAATAAAAATGTTTGCTAACACAAGATCTGTTGTCAAGATGATACAGAACTGCGTACCCCACAAAGGGTCACAATTTTCTATACTGAAGGTACACATCTGTCGGCAAAACCGACTGATAAGTTTTAACGTTCCTATTTTTAATTTAAATGTTGCCATGCAAAGAACATTTATTGGGACTCAAAATGTGTAGGAAGTCAAATACTGTCATAATCCCGAAAACAGGTTCTCATATGTTTGAATTGTTAGCGTTATTTGAACTTACAGTATTCGCACCACTAGCAATGCTCACAAACCATCCCCAGCCGCCATCCGGTGCAACAAAATTGTCACCCAAATCACTTTTGTTGTGTCGTTTTTTCTTCGCTCGCACCGATGTGGCCTGTATCGTTGGTACTTTTGCCTTTGCATCTTCAACTGGACTGAGATTTTCTCGTTCGTTGGCCATTTTTGATTAAACTACTGAATTAGATCAATGGAGATCTTTTGTCTAACATATTTTTTATTTTTCGCTCAGAGGATGGATGTAATAACAAATACCGGAAAACACCAGCGTTGAGGCTACAGGTCGATAACCGTTTACTTTCGCGCTGTCATTCTGACTGATTTCGCCATTAGGAGAAGTATTTAGCGCACCTGAATCTTGTCTTTATGTCTCGCAACAATAAACCTTCACAACGAACTGATAAGCAGAGTTTGTTTTACATTAGCGTTTTTCGTCTTTGTTTTTATAATTCCAGCAATTCTGCCCATCACCAAACAGCAGCGATTACAGCCTTTGTTGTGATTTAAGTAGATTGAGTCGAAAAATCGAAATACAGAACAAATGTCAAACATTTAGAATTAGAATTTCCTGTATTCTATTGATCCTAATTTATCAAATGGCAACGAAGAAATAGGTCTTTATCTGTGGTGGGTGTTTTTGTTTTTCATTCACACAAAAAGAGATAGGGAGCTCGGAAAGCTCATAAAGATAAAATCAACGGCACAGATTTCACAGCATATTTAGTGCAGTGTCGTTAAACGTCATATCTGTCACACTCGTCGTCGTTGACGTCGTCGTCGGCATCACTGCCATTGGCTACGTGAGCATTCAAACATTTTCCACGCGACTTTATTTATTGCTATATGTCAATAGACATGTTTGTGGTTTCCACAGATAACCGCGAAGTAAAAAAGTCTGTAAAGGCAAAAAGTCTTTAGTAATATTTGATGTACGTAGCGAAACGGAGTTTACCTCGTAAATTTAAAATAAGTAAAAAAGGCTAAAAAGCTCCAAAATTTTTAATACCCTCAACCAGTAGGAAATTAAATTATGTGACCCACTGCGAAAACTTTTTACCAGATGATGATAAATGTTTTCAAAACCCTAAAAAAATCGGGTAGTATGAGGACTGTATCATAAAACGGACGTATGAATTTATACCAAAAGCGTGCAAAAGCGTTCCCGAAATTAATATTTAAAGCCAAGCATGGTTTTTAAAATATTTCATTCAAAATTTGAGAATTACTTTACTTATAGTATTTAATTTGTTTGTATTTATCAATTGAAATTCAAGGTATATTAATTTGAATTATTGCGTTTGATTTTTTTCCATTTGAAAATCCGGAATAAATGTCAATATTTCAAATTTTTCTAAAATTACAGGAGAAGTAATAATAAAATTAGAAGTCACGCATATCAGCGTTTTGAAGATTTACATCAGAAATAAACCCAAGCAGAGGGGGATAACTCCCCCCCCCCCTATTTCAGATTTTTTTTTTAAATTTTCATCTAAAAATCCTTTGGAATTTTTGCATTTCAGGTATTTTTTATTCTTGTTATGTAGAAATCTTCCTTAAAGAAAATTATGAATATAGCTTTACGTTTTGTTGTTGTAGCACGAAGATATGAAAATATTTATTTATTTATGTTAAGAAGTGAGCCCACCATTGGATGATGTGTGAAATGGTGCCGTGCCATAATCCCCGCAAACACAATCCCCATTACAATTATCGGGGGGATCATGTCAAAGAATAAATCGGTCACAATCCCCGGAAAATAGCGGACAGTATCACCATCATATTGGGTGTGCGAAAAAAATTGAGATTTTCTTCTATGGGTACATCAGGCACTAGCTATCGTGAACCAAAGTTTTCTAAATTTCAAAATTTTTGTAAGTAGCCGGCCTTGGCTTGAGATTTTCTCCTCTGGGTATGTCCGGCACCGGCTAACGCGAACCTCAGTTTTCTACATTTTAATCTGTACTCCCCACGGGGATTACAGTTTGAGATGAAAAAACTGTAACCAACTTCAGACTGCTGTCTTTTCTAGGGCACTCGTCCGACAGCTGTTAAAATTATTCCAGTGACAGCTTATTATATTGTTTACAAGCGTACAAAAGCATTTTGGTGCGAATTTTCGAGAAAAAAAGTTATTCGTGATGGAATCCAAGGATGATAGTGTGATTTCTTTATATTTGGCTAGAAAACCACAATTAGTTATCGTTAGAGCACTGGCTCATGAGCTGAACATATCACAATATTCCATTCGGCAAATAATGAAAACTAAGCTCGGGGTAAAATAATTGAAATTCCAAAAAGTGCAAGAACTTACACCACAAAAGAAAGAAAATAGACTCAAAAGAGCTAAAGAGTTGCTTCGCTTGCCCGAAAGCGGTGAACTGCCGAATTTCGTTTTATCCGATGAGAAAACATTCGTTGTGCAGCAGTTTGTAAACAAACAAAATAATCGTGTTTACTTTCCAAGAGGTCACCTTCGGTTATATTAATCAACCGTGGCATCAGAATAAATGCCGAATATCATCGCGAAAATATTCTGGAGGGTGTATTAAAGCCTTGGGCACGCAAACATTTTGACCGCTGACCTTGAACGTGCCAACAGGACTCTGCACCATCGCACTCAGCATGCGCCACCCAAGAATGGCTACAAAATGAGGTTCCTCACTTCATTTCCAGCGTACAATGGCCACCAAAATCTGTGGAAACAAATCCGATGGACTATTGTGTCTGGAGTATTTTGGAAAGCAAGGGTGGCACTAAAAAATACCAATGTGTCGATCACCTCAAGCAACCGCTTCGCCGGGAATGGGCCAAAATACCGCAGAGCAACATTCGGGCAGCGTGTGACGGTTTCATTGGCCGTTTGAAGGTCATAATTCGTGTCAAAGGTGGCCAATTCGAACAAATCTAAATTATTCTAGAACTTGTTGCTATTTCCGAGTTTCTTTTTTTTTCATTCAATAAAATTTAAAAAAATGTACAAATTATGCCGTTTGACTTCGTTGCAGTTTTTTTATTTCACCGTGTACTCTTGCCTTTCCAAATGTGCTGACATCTCTTCTAGTTCCGAAGACATTAGGATAAAAATAATGAAATTGTAATTTTCTCCACTTTATAGCTTTTTCATGATTTAGTACTCTGAGGTGTGTCCAACACCAGATACGCGATCCTAATTGTTCTAAATTTTATAATTTTTGTATGTAGTCGCGCTTCGATTTTAAAGTTAATATCTTTGTAACTACAAGAGGTATCGACACATATGCCACCATTTTGGAAAGGCATGAGAGTAGGCTAGGAAAGACAAGAGATTAGGCTATAATATAGTTAATAGATCTTAATACTCCAAAATGGGTTCATTTTCGACTTTTTGCGGTACAAAAATAACAATTCTCTTGTTTTACTTCGGTACCAGTTCAAACGACAAAAAGTGGTCGTTGGATAGGTATTTTCGTAAACTTTTAAATGATTCCCATATGTAGATACAAGTTTTGTAGAACCGGACATTACCCGGTTTTTGTGTCCGAATTTTTTAGTCAAGTAACAAGGTATTTCCCCGCACGAAGAAATTACTTTATCATAATCAGGTGATCTACCTGTAAGATCAATCCGAGTATAGCCCCTATACTCAACTTAAGCCTTGTTTTCTTGCTGGGGACTATGTCTGAAATTTTTTCGGATATAATCCCCTCAGCTAACGGTCATAATCCACATGGGGATTATGTCTGTTTTTGAAGCGGAGATTATCTCCACTTTATAATGGGGTTGATGATCAAACACAAAACGGACAAAATACCCATAATTACAATGGGGATTATGGCCAGACACACCGGCGGGATTGGGCGGGACTGTTGCGCCTATTCAAACTCGATATAACTTCCGTTTCTTTTTTCTGAGATTTCGATTCTGCCCCCATCATTGGAGTACAAGACAGAGATACTGACCATTAGTCACGAAAGAAATGTTTGATTCCCCCCTCATCTTATTGAAATCTGATATTAGGCTAGTGGCATGACAATATTTCCATACATATGTTTTTTCAACAATAACAACAACTGTATAATTTTTTGTCTTTTATACTTCTTTACTAAACTTATAGGTAGTATTAAATGCACTAAAATGTACAAATGTCAATTGGTATCACTAGCTATGCGTGTATGTACGTGTACGTCTCTATGTATGTAATGTATATATATTTACAGAAAGTTACAATTGTATATAACAATAACCTATGCAACAAAATTGTACTTAAAGTTAATTGTGGGCGGGCGGAGGAGGGAGGGACATTGGGATAGGGGAGGCAACAGTTCGACAGCATAACATAAATAATGAATGGATGAAACCGGTGCGAAACTTTTAACTAATGGAAGTTTTCGAAGCAAATGAAAGATTGGTCTCCAATTTAAGAACCATCGGCCAGCGATTTTGATTTGCCCTTGTACTTGCGAATTACTGATTCCAGTACCCAGAATCCAATTGCCACAACACACAGCATGTTGAGGAAGTTGAGGGTGAAAGCATAGCTGGTCCTGTCACGAATCAGACCTGAAACAGAACAAAATTTAGCTTTCCGCGAATAATGGCTATTTGGATCCGCTTACCGATTACAGGACCGCATACCATGGAAAATATGCCAGACATAAGAAGCTGCAGCCCAGCTGCTGCGGGCAATCTCTTCAGTGGAACATAGCCGGGAATGATGAGTGACCAAAATACTGTGCGGAAGGCCTTGTTCAGACCCATCCATGCAAATATGCCAATCATGAAATAGAAATTGGTGGTGAACGACAGCAGCAGGCGTCCGAGGCACATGCCCAATATGCCGATGGCGAAGAACGTCTTGTTGTCCAAATTTATTTTGGCCGTTATCAGCGGCACCAGAAAACGTACCACCAAATCACACAGGCCCAGCAGTGACATGGCCAAGGCGATCTGATGACTGGCGAACCCAAAGTCGGACAAAATGAATGGCGTCAGGATGGCAAAGTTGATTTCAACAAAATTGATCAGGGTCAGACCCAGGGCCAAGTTCAAATAGGTAATGTCACGAAGTAAATCCAAATCGAAAAATATAACAATTTTCATTAGGATCGATAGTTTCTTGGGTGGCTCCTCTTCCTCGTCATCATCATCAGTCTTTTTCAGTTTATTATTGACATTGTTGTTATTACTATTATTGTTGTTGTTATTACTGTAGCTTTGCAATTGGGTATTGTGTTCATGTTCTTCATTCTCCTCGCCATCCTTTTCCTCTTTAATACTGTGACTAAGGGAGAAACTGCGTACTTTGGCAGTGGCTTCACTGCTATTCAGACGTTTCAATTCAACGCCCTGTTCATCGCTCTGCTGCTGCTTCTCCCACGTACCCAATCGATTGCGATATGAGGAAGAGTTCAGGGATGACTTCGAGCCAAACCATCCATCGTTGGCACGTGGTAAGGTGGGTGTGTCCGGTTCCACCGGTTGTGCAATGATATGGTCGTCTTCATCGTTCGTTGCGTTGAGTTTCTTGGATGCCTCCGCATCAGCTGCTGCTGGCTTCTTGACATGCCACAGGACAGGTTGGTACACCAACGAGCAGGCAATGGTGTTCAGCGAAAGACCAGCAAAGAAGAGGACAGTATAACGGACGCCAACCATGCCCAAGAGGAAGGTAGCCACGTAGGGAAGAACAATGGGACCCAAGCCCGCAACACCGAATTGATAGGCGGTAGCAGTACGTCTTCTCTCCTTGAAGAACGTGTTCACAGCCAATGATGAAGCAGACACGGTTAGGCCTCTTCCAAAACCTAAAGAGGAATGGTGGAGAGAGGTTATTGGAGGAATAAAGCCAAGCCATGGGCTTGCAACTTACCATAGCAGGTGGAGAATGCCAGCACATAAAATACGAACGATTCGGCAAAGACGCAAGCGAACAAACCTATGAATGTCAAAAAAGAACCCACCAAAGCCACTTGGCGGTAAGAAAATCTTCGGAACAGTGGGCCATTGAGCAAGCCTGGAAATAAATAGAGGCGTAAAAAATAATGGGTTTAATGTCATATCAAAAATTAGCACAGCCCAGCTAATGATCATTAACAACCCAGCTAATGATCATTAAAGACGCACGGTATTTACAATAGATTTCGAGTAAAATATTTATAACGGGCCGATAATAAAATCATAATCAAAAATTTTATTGCAGCGTGTTTACCAGTTTGTCTGGATTCCATATAACATTGTGGTAATTTTTTTCTAATATTTTCTATTATCAAAAAAATCGAGATCTTTTCAAAAAAATAATGGATATTTATTTTTAGATTTGCTACGAACATATTCCCGTTACAATGTTACCATCATCGCAAATAATCAAATTTCTGATTCAAAACAGGAATCAGGATATATATCCTGGACAATTAAATAGAAAAATATTTGACAACGTTGCCATATCTTTTTCTTTTCCATTTTGAGATTTCCAATCATATTTTTTATTCATTTGTAATTCACTTTATTCTATTTCCAGTCCAAAATGTTGCATTTGAAAATTATGAAAAAAAATTTAAAGCATTTTTTGATAAGAATTTAGAATCGGAAAAAAATAATATTTGCAAATGAAAGTTTTTAAAGATTAGTTTATTCAAATTTTATTCCATTTCAATTTTCGAAATATGCAGGGTGAGATGAAAAAACTGCAAGCAACTTCAGGCTTCTGTCATTTCCAAGCCACTCGTCCGACAGCTGTTAAAATTATTCCAGTGACAGCTCATTATATTCTTTACAAGCAAGTACAAAAGCATTTTGGTAAGAATTTTCCAGAAAAAAGCTATTCGTGATGGAATTCAAGCGTGATAGTGGGATTTCTTTATATTTTTGGCTGGAAAACCACAAGTGGCTATCGTTAGAGCACTCCAGCATATAAATGTGGATAAGTCTTTTGTGTGTCCTACCATCGTTCGTTACCGTAATACAGTCGTCGCCGTAGCCCGACGTCGATAAAGTGGACAGAAGAAAACAGCAACATCAGCAGAAAAGGTTCGAAATGTAAAGAAGCGACTTGACCGAAACCCGCGTCGCAGTGGCCGAAAATGGCTTGTGAACTGAACATATCACAATATTTCATTCGGCAAACATTGAAAAATGAGCTCGGGATAAAGCCATTGAAATTCCAAAATGTGCAAGAACTTACACCGCAACAGAAAGAAAGTAGACCTCAAAGAGTTAAAGAGTAGCTTCGGTTGGCCGAAAGTGGTGAACTGCCGAATTTGGTTTTCTCCGATGAGAAAACATTCGTTGTCCAGCAATTTGTAAACCAACAAAATGATCGTGTTTTCTTGCCAAAGAGGTCAGCTGAAAATGTGCACCTTCGGTTGGCCACCAGAACACAAGCGCCGGCCATGGTGATGGTGTGGGCCGCCATAACAGCCGATGGTCGCTCCCCTCTCGTAATTATCGAATTATCGACCGTGGCATCTGAATAAATGCCGAATATTATCGCGAAAATAATCTAGAGGGTGTATTAAGGCCTTGGGCACTCAAACATTATGGCGTTTGACTTTTTTGCATTTTTTTTATTTCACCCTGTACTTCAAACCATACGTGACCTTTCAATGAAACCAAATTTATATTTTTGGTGACCTCTTTGCAAATAATTGTCTAGGGGAAGTCTGCTTTCACTTTTTCAATGTGTCTTTTTATGGAAATGATTTTTTTGAAATTAGACAGCCTCTGAGTAAAAGAGAAAATATTTAAATTTCCGTCTTATCGTCGAATGGACTGCAATTCAGTACAAATCCTGTGTCATATGATCGAATTCCTTAAATTTAGTTCACTTCCACCTACAAATCCCCTTTTTATTTCTTCAAATCTCATTTTCTTACCGAAGACTGTTTTTGTGTCAGGCCATTGCGATAAAATTCTCTAGCGTGTTCCTCTTACCTGTCATAGCCGATATAGCGACCTGTGTGTTAATAATTGTTGTCAACTGAGAGCTGGATATTCCCATGTCTGCCATATGTGCCCGAAAGATAATGCCGAATTGTTGGGCCATGGCAAATGTTACCAACTGAAAAGAAAACGAAATTATTCTCCATTTCAACAATCGAAACAACAACATAGGAGGGCGCAAACATACAATATTGACACCACTGGCAATGGCCACAAACCAACCCCAACCGCCATCGGGCGCCACAAAATTTTCACCTAAATCGCTGTGATCACGGTGCTTCTTCTTCTTTTTCGTTTTCTTTGTGGGCTGTGTCGATTTCACCGGCTGTTGTTTAACATTGTCCGAAATTATAAGTTTGGGCAGATTTCCTGTGCCATTTTTGCCATTGGAATCCATTGAGACCGTTGTTGTATTTGTTTTGCCATCATCTACCATATTGCCGGTGTATTTGGGTTCTCATCCCTCGGATACTAGAAAGTCTAAAAATAAAGTAAAAAAATAAAATTCGTATTAATTCGAACCACAATGCATTCTTGGCATATATTTGTAGCAGGTGTGAGTCTTCTAAATGGCCATAACAAAATTATTCACAATTCACGGGATGCAATTAAATTGTTTTAAATCTGCTCTTTCGACTTAAGCGAGATTAAATTAAAATTCCAGTTTGTTTAAATGTTGCCATGCTGGATTTATAACGATTTTCGAAATGTAGAACATCTCTAATCACAAAGAAGGTGAAATTTAGAGAACATCCACTATGGAAATATACAGGGTGAGATAAAAAAACTGCAACAAAGTCAAACGCCATAATTTTTACATTTGTTTTTTTAATTTTATTGAGTGAAAACAAAAAATGTCGGAAATTGCGTCAAACTTTAGAATAAGTTTAGATTTGTTCGAATTGGTCACCTTTGGCACGAATTATGGCTTTCAAACGGCCAATTAAACCGTCACACGCTGCCCGAATATTGCTCTGCGGTATTTTTGCCCATTCCCGGCGAAGCGCTTGCTTGAGGTGTTCGACACTTTGGTATTTTTTAGTGCCAACCTAGCTTTCCAAAATACTCCAGACGCAATAGCCCAACGTGTTGGTATCCGGAGATTTTGGTGGCCATTGTACGCTGGAAATGAAGCGAGGAACCACTTGGCGTGCTGAGTGCGATAGTGCTGAGTTCTGTTTGCGTGTCCAAGACTTTAATACACCCTCTGATAATATTCGGCATTTGTTCTGATGCCACGGTCGATTAATACGAGCGGAGAACGACCATCGACTGGCGGCCCACACCATCACCATGACCGGCTGTCGGACGAGTGGCGTAGAAATGACTGCAGTCTGAAGTTGGTTGCAGTTTTTTCATCTCTCCCTGTATATCTTCAAGAAATTGGATAAATTTAGTATCCAGGTAATTGTAGACAAATTCCATTTCAAAGCTTATAAAACACTTCAGAATTCCCATGCTCCTGTTTTGAGAAGAACGCGCATCAAAGTTTGGAACTGCTTGGAGCTTACTAAAAGCGGTATCGGATTTTGTGAGTTGAACTGCTGAAAATAATATTGTTAATATCCCTTTCCGAAAATTAGACCAGATATAGGAAAACTTGATCAACAATTCAAAGAGAACAAACTGAAACCCTTACATACGAAGAAAACTGAAGAAGTCCAAAATAACTTATGGAACATCTAAGCACGACAACGACACAATGTCTCTCAATAGTTACCGATCGATAGCCTATCTTTATGAATTCTTCAATAAATATTCATTATCGTACATAGTACTAGTACATACTAATGTATGAGGGCGAAATTTGGTAGTCCAAAATTGAACTGCAAAAAATTCCATTCGGCTGATATCAACATTTACCCCCTTAGGTCTCCCTCCACAATATCGGTTGCTGTAACAACGATCATATTGAAATACAATCTTAATCCCAGTGTAAATTTAATATTGAACGGAGCTTAGTTGTGCTCGAGGTAATTATCTGTTATGCTCACGCTCTCTTATCAACCCATACCCAGCAGACCACGGTGGGGGGCACCTAAGCGATTACGCAAACCGTTTTCCATTCATAAAATTGTCAAAGCATTTCTTTGGCTTTGCGATTTGCCGACAATCTAATAAAAAACCCTTTCAATTGGAGTGTGTGCCATGTAAAGATCTGTGCGCCGATACTCTGGTTCGCAATGAAATTATCCATCAATTATGTCATAAAATAATTGTAATTCAAAATTAGAGATCCTCTTCAATTCAAACAAAACAAAAAAAAAAATAATGAAAAATATAAAATAATTTAGCTGGCGTTATCGTCGGCGGACGATGGTCACCATTGGACGATTCGAAAGTGCTGATAACATTGAAGTAGTCACCTTTACAGACACGCTTAACATTTGCCTTATCGAGACAAAGGAACAGCAAAAGAGAATATTGAATTGCAAAAATGCGATAAGGCAACATTTTAAAAGATAGGTTAGTATCTGACTACGAAGGATGGGAAGGGAATTTGAGGAAGAAACAGTAGCATTCCTGAGAAAATTTTTGATTTTTAAGAATATGGCAATGAACCCTTGAATATTCATTGAAATATTTTGATTGAAGATATAATTTGGATATAACTAAGACAAGCATTGCAAAATATTGAATTTTACATTTATTTTTGTCTCAACTTAAGTGGTTGTTGTTAAAACCTGATCACTTCAATGTATAGCCAAAGCTTTTTCCTAATTTCTTTATCCGTACCACAATCTCAATCGAACGAATAATAATCATTATAGACATTAAGTTAGAGCATAACATATTTTTGAGGAAAATTCCATTAAATTTCTGATTATTTCATTTGTGAGTACAAGTCTCTGTCGTCAAGTAGTCATAAATCAATGTAATCTATTGCCAATGTTTTCAGATCATATCTATGGTTTCTAGAGACAATCGCTTAGGTATGAATTTGATAAAATTGAGAAACTATGATTTTTTTTGAAAATTATTATTGTCAAACTTAGATCCAGTTCGAAGATGGGCAATATTGGTCCACTCCTTCTGGTACCTCCCACACAAAAAGTCAATATTTTCAAAAAAACTATTTCACAGAAAGATAAAGGATAATCTGATTTTGCTCTAACTTAGCAAATCCTAATATTTGCATTTGAACTAGGTCAGATGGACAATGGACAATATCGGTCCAATCCTTCTGGTACCTCCCCCACAAAGGGTCAACATTTGTTAATACCCATTAAGCTCACAAAACGCTAAATTAACATCCGATTCCATACAGACTTAGTACATCTCAATATTTTCATCAACACTAGACCTGTTATAATAAACATGGTAGATATCGGACCATCTTTCTGGTACCTCTCCTACAACGGTCAAAATTTTGAATAACCAAAACGATTATAAGCATCCGGTTATCTTAATATTTCACACATTTCATTATTACTTATTACTAACACAAAATCTGATGTAAAGTTGGGATATATCGGTCCACAACTTCTGGTACCTACCTCGCAAAGGGTCAACATTTTAAATATCATTGAAGCTCACAAAACGCGAAATTAACATTCGATTCCATTCACACTTGGTACTTCTCAATATTTCCATAAACACAAGATCTGTTATAAAGCTGGTAGAGATTGGATCATATCTTCTGTTACCTCCCCCACACAGGGTTCAAAATTTTGAAAACAAAACGGTAAAATACAGCGAAATAAGCATCCAACTCTCTTCAAATTTCACACATTCAAACATGTTTGCCAACACAATCTGTTGTGAAGACATATTATCATCATCTGCGAACATGGTACCTCAGCCGCAAAGGGTAACATTTTCAATACTTTTATCTGTCATAGTCAGGTAATTCCTTATGACTTGCTCTATCTAAATATTTCTCTCAACCAAAAACCTGATATAAAATTCGATATAAATGTTCGATTTTACAAGAAATTTTTCCCATATCAATATTTTTATATGTATTAGATAAAGTATGAAAATGAAATACTTCGGACGACTATATCTGGTACCTCACGCACATGTTAACATTTTCTAAAAATTACCGCATATCTCATGTAAAGTGAATATCTCATGTAAAGTGAAGGAAGTTACCAATGTAGTCCAAACCTGGCAATATTTATTTATTTAGGTCCGATACGAAATGGGCCATTCCTTCGGAACCTACTCCATAGATAATCATAACAGAAGTCAAAATATATTTAAATAATCGAACATTGGCTGAGGGTATACATCTGTTAGCAAAACCGACTGATACTTTTTAACTTGTTTTTTTTTTAGATTTTTTTTACCAGGAAAAGTATCAAATATTGTATAGAAGTAAGAGAATCTAATTTGTGTGCCGTTGGTATTGGATACCTTACAGATCAAGAATTTTTAAATTTGGTTTAAACATGACTAGTAGTGTGTGTGATTTAGGTTTTTTGGAAAATAGTACCCCAAGTATACGAAGAGAACTAAAATTTACTGCCATTGATATTGGGTGAGCGATTGGAGTAGTAGTACTTAACAGCGATACATTTGGTTAGTTGGATAGGGAAATCCAATAAAGGCATAACTTTGAAAGTTCGGAAATTTTAATTATTTTTTGCCACATATTACGAAGTCCTTTTATTAAAATGTAATTAAATAAAATGCAATTAAAATATCAATGTAGTTTGACGAAAAAAGTGAACATGTATATAGTTGTATGTGTAGTTATGGGATACTAAATGTGTGTGTGTACTTGGCACAGGTTAAACGGTCTGAGTGGAAAACTGATTTCTCTACATCCCCGAAAGGCATTTCATGATTTTTCATGTTCTCAGGTTCTATGAATAACAGTATATTTATTATTTAAGGTATTCGGTTAATGCATAAACTAAATATCGGATTATTTCACCATGACTGATGCTGATTTCTAAACTTGAGATGGACTTGAGTCTCAAACACATTCTCAAATTTTACAATTCCATCTTTCCATCTGACACACTTCGGATAGCGTTTATATTTTTTTAACTCAAATTAATTTTCTCATCCTTTAGAATTGTAGCCAAAACAAAAGGAGTAACAACTTAGCACTGATGTTTTTTAAGACGACTCCTCTCGTACGAGAAAAGCACCTTTTTCAATCTTAAAACTTTTTACGAATACATTTGATAATAGCAATGGTGTATATTTGTTTAAAGTTCGATCACTTGGTGATTGTGGTTATTTTGACAAATTCGTTTCATGAAATGTATTTAATTATTATTTATTTTTAGCGACATTAAGTTCTAATTGTTCTCCACAGAACAGACTTGAATTGCCGTTGATGGAACACACATTATTTCAACATTCCCTAAAAAATTCCCTCGTTGTGCACCCGATTCTAGCACTCCGCTTTCAATATTTCATATGGATTTGTCCGCTTTTGCCATCTGACGATGATGATGTTGATGAGGTTATTCAAAATAATTACGTTTTATAATTATCGTGTTTTGATTTTGCAACAACAACAATAACCACAACAAACAGAAGCATGCTTTGTTTTAACTTCATATTATTAAATGTATTGTTGTTGTATTGTTTTTTATTTTCATTTCGAATGCGTCATAGTATTAAGAGAGCAGAACTGAACAGTTGTCCGATAGAATTAGAACCACGCGTTTACTTTCTTCTCTTGTTCTTCTTCTTCCTCTGATGTCGTCGATTTTGGGCCACACTCACCAAATTTGTGTGTGTGTGTGTGTGTTTTTTAGTGTTACACACCGATTGTAAAGCGTTTCAAGGTTGTCTCCGAACCACAACAATACGCAACGGATGCAGATATACTTCCAACGGAGATGAGACATCCAATATTTAAGTCAGCCCTTCCCGTACTTTGCTCTATGCTGTCGATGCTGCTGTGGAATTTTTCAAACACTTGTTGACATTTGGCCCACTCGACATGTCTGCGTTGTTGTACAATTTTCGCGAGCTCTCTCCGCTTTGGCACTGGACACAACATGTCGTCGTCCATATCTATATCAGCAACATGTAAATATGGGAGCACTCAAGTGTTTTCGTTTTGTTTTTTTGCTGTTTCAGTTTCTTGGCCACAGATAATAAATAAGTCCACTACCGATAGTAATTTTTTGTTTTTGAATAAAATTTCAGGGCAAGGCGACTGTTAAACACAAAAAGAAAAAAGAACGCTTCCATGGCTGTTATCTATGGCGCAAAAAAATTCCCGGCATTTGTCAGTTTCTTACGGGACATGATTGATTGGCCATCACTCAAGGGGTTTCTCTTCCTGTGTGTGTGTGTGTTCAAAGTCAAACTTCACGGGTGTCTGATTGTGGCATTGGTTGGTGTTATGCATCATCACCATCACGACCTCCACCACCACCACCTCCTTGTGTGCGAACTTTATCAACTACCAGTAATTATTACTGGGTATTCTAATTATATTATTCATGATGGATTGAGTCAAAATCACAAGAATATATTTAGCGACATGGAAACAAACTCATGATCGGCAGGAAATGTTACGACAAAGGACAAAGAAAATTCCTTGCCTTTCGACATACTTGATTCGGTTCGAAAATTCCGACGATTTTCCTGTTTTCTTTTCTTTCGCACTAAAAATCACTGATCTTGTTCGCGTTCTCAGCTTCACTGATCGCTGTTTAAATGCCAAGCTCACTAGCCGGCTATTACGGGGTCAACAAAAACACAAACAACAACCACTTGTTGGCTGATTGGCCGATTGGCTATTTTTTAGTCGCAACGGTTATGACGTCGTTTTAAACTTTGAACGAAGCAAAACAAAAAAAAAAAATGATGGAAAAAATAAGCCAAACCAAGTTCGCAGGCACACTCACTTCGCTCTCTACTCGAAATACAACCACCACGACTTGTCACTTTCGTTTACTACGACCGACTAATTGTTGTGAATTCGCGGCATAAATGAATTTTATGTTTGCCCAGTTCGAATCGAACCGAACGGAATTTGTTGATAACTAATGGTGATTATCAAAAAAAAAAAAATTGTTAATTTTTTTCTCATCTTTTATTATTGTTTTTTTTTTGCCGTTGTCGATTGTGGTGCGTTTAGACGAGCAGATTTTTGGCAAAATACCTTTTGGCATGTGACTGATGAAGACATGGAGGGAAAATTGAGTTTGTTTTTAATAGGGGTTTTCAAACGATTTTTTTTTTTTTGGTAAAGCCAACAAAATTAAAGGATAGCAAATATCTTCAATATAGTACTTCGATAAAAATACAAATGGCGAAAAAGCGAATCTTTGGCTACAAATGCTGCAGGTAAACCAATATTATTGTACTGCTTATACATAAACTTGGTTAAGAAGTCCCTTTCGATGATGTGATCAAAGAATTATATATTCTTTATCAATCATACGATTCTGTAACAGATTTATTTCTAGGAAGGATGCAGAGTTTTAGCCAGAAAAAATGTAGCTGCAATCGCAGCCTGAAATCAAATTCATTTTGTTTTTTTATACCCTCCCCATATATAGTATAGAGGGTATATTAAGTTCGACATTCCGTTTGTAACACATCAAAATAATAATTTAGACATAACGAAGTATATAAGTCTGTCCGTTGTAATCACGCTAGAGTCAAAACGAATTAAGATAGAAAGCTAAAATTTTGCACAGATCAGTTGTTGAAAATCCACAAAAGGAGTTCCTTCTGAGTACTTTGCCCCCTGGAAGAGTATTGTCTATATAGGTTCACGATATCGTATAGGCCCCATATGTCAGTACCTCCCAATATTCGGTATTTTGATGATTTTAGCTATATTTTTCAATGGAATTGTCTAAAAATCCATACTAGAATTTGTTTCTAAGCACTTTACCCCCTGGAGCCCACATACAACGGTACCCCCCTATATTCGATATTTTGACGATTTTAGGGATATTATTCATCGGAGTTTTTTAAAATTTCGTATTCAGAATTCGCAATGGGTACTACAAGCTATGACATTTCGTATGCAGGCCCACGTCTTCGTATAGCCTCCATATAACGCTAACTCCCAATATTCGGTATTTTTATGATTTTGGCGACATTATTCAACGGAGTTGTTTTAAATTTCTTATTTAGAATTCGTAATGGGAACTACAGTATATGACAGAAAATTTTCTATGCAGGTCCAGGTCTTCATGTAAGCCCCATATTTCAGTACTTCCCTATATTCGGTATTTTGACGATAATAGGTACAATATTCACCCACATTCTTTGAAATTCCCAATTTGAAGTTCCTAATATTACTACAACCTGTGACAGATAGGCCGTACTTACAGTATTTATACTTGTTTTATTTTAGTTGCTCAAATTGTTATTATTTAAACCAAAACTACTAAGTAACTCACTCAAATCTGCCCAGTTCATATTAAAACAAACGTATATTCTGTTGCTATTAGATCAATAAGTTCTTCCCACTGAAAAAAAATCAAAAATATTTTTTTCTAAATTTGTTAATCTTAAAATTGTATACATATTCGAAAGTTGTGATGATTTATAAAACTAGACTTTTTGTTTGGATACCGTTTGGTGTGGATTGCATTCGATCGCAACCATTTTTGTTTGTTTTCTTTTTTTAGGTGCAATCATCCAATCATAAGCTACTATATTTTACCTAGGAAATTTGTCTTGTAAAAAGTTCTTAAAGTGATTAGCCGCCATTTTTAATTATTTTCTCTTAAGTGTGTATGTAATTTTTAATAAGCTTTTCGGGTGGAACTTAAATTTTTACTTCAATCAACAATTTTTTGGAATTTTCCATTCATTCGTATACCCACAAATTGGAGATTTCCAATCGGATAGTGTAAACTATGCCATTATATATTTGGAGAGCATTGTCGATTTTCGCCTATTTTTCACATGTGTTGCCGTCGCAGACACCCAACACGCCACGCCATAAGAACACAAGCACACGCACGCTTCTGCTTCTGAAATGTTGGGGCTGAATTTCATTATCTTTTCTTAATTATTGTCTGCTGGCATTTAAATAAAAAAAACATACCTATTTGAAATTATATTCAAACATTTCACAGCGGAATGTTTTAAGGGACATCATGTCATGAAATGGTTTACTTTATTTAAATTTCGTTCTCTTTGTTTGTTTGTTTATTTGATTAACTATCACTACCTGTGTTTTTTTTTTTTCTTTTTGTCGGTCGAATTTGTTTTTGTACAACAAGTGTTTGAATTTTAAATATTGTCTCATTGCCAATTCTGAGTCGTCACAAAATCGCCTCCAGCCAGCAGTCGCCAAGATGAAGCAACCCGACCAAAACAAAACGAAAATACCACAGACAACCTAACCAAAAAAAAAAACAAAAACAAAAACATGAACGTCGTGTGATCATAGAGATGTCATGAACATGTTTTAAGTAATATTAGCATGCATTTTTTTAATAATTATTATTAAATATTTTTTTTTTTTTCATTTTCAAACTACGCGCTGACATTCTTTTCAGGCAATAAAAATACCTTCAAGTGGGGTGATAATTTTTTGCCAAGCCAATTATGGCCTGTTATCAGCTCGTGTCTTGAAAGGAAATATACAACGTTTAAAGGTTATTTTTCGATATAAAGATATTGACCAGAAACTGATATTTGACAAGTGGTTAAACGACCACCGCTAACAACAAAGAGCGGGGTGGATAATAAAGTCCAAAGTGTAAAGTGGGTGTGTTCGCAAGCAATTTTCGACTCACGAAACAAAACGTCGTAGATAATGCAATGCGTATTTCTTGCATACGGTTTTAGGCAAGAAGTTCTTCTTCAAGTATACGCTGAATCATATCGAATAAATAACAACTGATTTGGCGACTGAGATGAGATTTGAAGAACTGGTGATTTGATTCCAACTATCGTTTCAAGAGAAGAGAAAAAGAGTCGGTTAAAATTAACTATATGGTGTCCTACACTAGAGATATTTTGTATGAAAGCAATTGAAACAAATAATGGAAGCTAAATCGAAAACTCCTGCATACTTTTTACCCAACCAAATGCCAAATATGACCATAGGAAGTGGATTGGGAACGAAGGTGATGTAATAACAATTCTTCAAATGGAAAACTTAAGCAATTGAATGATTAGTTTTCGAAATGCTAAAATGTCGGGCGTGGCCGACTATATGACACCCTACCTCACTATGCATATTTAGTCGAGCTCCCGAAACAAAAGAATTTATTTAAAGTAGATCATACCATCATTATAAACATTTGGCTTTAGAGCAGTTATAGTCTGGTTTCAGAAGGAACTAATATAAATTTGACGGAGACATTTTAATCTTTTATACCAAATAACATTGCTGTAGAGGACATGATATCACTGCGAGAAGGATTATATCCAAAAAATATATATCGTAGCCGAGTTCCATAAAATGGAAATGTAAGTCCCGAAATTCACTCCATTTGGGCTGATACAGGGTGAGATAAAAACTGCAACAAAGTCAAACACCATAATTTTTACATTTTTCTTTTAAATTTTATTGAATGAAAGCAAAAAATGTCGGAAATAGCATCAAATTTTAGAATAAGTATAGATTTGTTCGAATTGGTCAGCTTTGGCACGAATTATGGCCGAAGCGCTTGCCAACCTTGCTTTCCCAAATACTCCAGACACTATAGTCCAACGGATTGGTATGCGGAGATTTTGGTGGCCATTGTGCGCTGGAAATGAAGCGAGGTATCTCATTTTGTAACCATTCTTGGGTGGTGCGTGCTCAGTGCGATGGTGCTGAGTCCTGTTGAAATGTCCAAGGTCTGCGGACAAAATGCTTGTGTGTCCAAGGCTTTAATACATCCTCCAGAATATTTTCGCAATAATATCCGGCATTTATTCTTATGACACGGTCGATTAATACGAGCGGAGAGCCACCATCGGCTGTTATGGGGGCCCACACTATCACCATGGCCGGCGCTTGAGTTCTGGTAGCCAACCGAAGGTGCACATTTTCAGCTGACCTCTTTGGCAAGTAAACATGAATATTTTGTTTGGCATGATGGTACGAGACAAAAAAGATTTACTCACATTTAAATGCTGGAGTGTTCTAACGATAGCCACTTGTGCCACCACACTATCACGCTTGAATTCCATCACGAATAACATTTTTTTCTTGAAAATTCTCACCAAAATGCTTTTGTACGCTTGTAAACAATATAATGCTCTGTCGCCGGAATAATTTTAACAGCTGTCGGACGAGTGGCTTAGAAATGACAGCAGTCTGCATTTGGTTGCAGGTTTTTCATCTCACCCTGTAATATGGTTCGAGCAAAATGTTAGACATGTACGCCGATTCCTTCAAACAATTGGAATGATTACCACAGACATGTTCAAACAGCCCTTAATTTTATACGCTCATATGGATTATATATTTTATCGGGTCTCAAATGATTACATGATTACCCTCCTAAACCTTTTGGGCGGGGGGTTGTTTAAGTTATAGGCAAAGTAAAGATCAATAGCAAATCAGTGGTCTGTTATCGATACCCTTAGAATGTTAAGCATTTAACCGGGGAACAAACTCAAAACTTTAGGATTAGTCTATGACTTTTTTGATCGATATTTTCCATGATATTGGAATTTAATAACTTAATTTATGATTAAAGTGGACAATGAAATTCGTAGGTACAAACATATTTTCTAACACCTTTACGTTCGATTAGGTAAGGGTAAGATAACACAGGGAATATATATTGCTTTATAACCATCATTAATATCCAATTATAGTAAAACAACAACAACAACAATCATACAAGCTGTGCGTGTGCCGTCCAAGTCGAAAAATTCTTTCGTTCCCAACCATAAGTATTTAAGTTTTCTTTGATGTTGTTGTAGTTATTTCGCATTTCGGAACCGCCGAGTCCACATAAAGATAACGCACAAAAGTCAATAACATATGTTAAGAAAACATATCTGGATGAGACGGCCGATAACATTTATCGCCTCGAACAGCAATCTGTGCAAATTACGCTATTCAACTACATAGGATGTAATGTAACTACACATATGTGTCGATCATGGACAAAACCAATTAAACACAGCCGATAAGAAAACAAATATATATTTTGTTGTGGATATTTCGTAATTGGTACCCTAATCAGGAGGAAAGTCATGTTTTGCCATATTTTTAATCACGCCTCCAAAACGAAACAAACAACAGAGGAACCGGAAACGGCATAAGTCGGTTTCCCAGGCAATGGGGGTATAGGAAAAACGATCACACACCTCCCAAATAAAACGACTTTTTAAAAGCAAACACTGATGAAACAAGGACGAAATTTAGAATCATATTTAACGCAGCAGTGCTTAGATCAAGTTACGAAAATAATTTCCTCATTCAATTGAAAATGAATAACGCCGTCCATGAACAAAGTGCATTTCTAACTTTTAAAGTGCCAAAACAATCTTGCCCCCATTAATAGATTAGGATTATTTGGCCAAAAAAAGGCAATTCAACTTTCGGCTTGATAAGAAAACTGTTTTTTAAAACATTCATTCATTTCACATCTACAGAATAGCGTTAATAAAGTAATACGAAAACCACCTTCATTTTTCCTTTACATTTGTTGTAGCATACTTTTAGGAATATATATAGAAATATTATTTTTCAATTGTTTATTTTCCGATAGATGGCGTCTGCAGAATCTTCCATGTGTGTTGGAGAATAAATTTATTTTACCATTCCGGTCGCCAACATCTTGAAATAAACATTTACAACAAAGACCCTAGATATATTTCCACATGTCTTCTAATGGAACTCAATATTAAGTTTTCGCACTCTTGGTGGGTAAACGATATTGTGAGCCCCCATATTATGATACAGAATTATTTCAGCATGATATTAAAGGGTTTTCCATGGGACAAAGAATATGCAAAATTTTGAACCGTTGTAGCCGATATATCCCGTCGTATTCAAAGTTTATGTGGAGGAGCTACCAGAAGGTGTGAGCCGGTATATCCAATTTCTGACCGTATCTTGTAATGGTTTAAATATTAGAATGTGCGAGATTTAAAGAAAATCTGATGCATATTTCACATTTTATCAGCGTTTAAGATATTCCAATTTTTGACCCTTTGTGGGGAAGGTATTCAAAGGAGTAGTCCGATATATCCCATCTTCACATCAGATCTTGTTTTGGTGGAAATATTGAGATGTACGACGTTTGAAAATAATCAGATGCTTATTTCGCATTCTGTTAGCATTTTAGTTATTCAAAATTATGACCCTTTGACCAGAAGGAGTGGTCCGCTATACTCCATCTTTACACCCGACTTTGAAATGGTTAAAATATTGGGATGTGCGTAATTTAAGGAAATTCTGATGCATGATTCGCATTTTATTAGTGTTTTAAATATTCCAAATTTGGACCCTTTGTGGGGGAGGTAATAAAAGAAGTAGTCCGATCTTGCATCCAGTCTTGCGGCAATGCAAATATCACGATTCACAAAGTTTGCACAAAATCATATTATCCGTTCTCTTCCTATGCGGTAAATTTTTTCTATGAAAGATAGGGGAGGTACCAGAAGGAGTGGACCGATATTGCCCATCTCCGATCTCGATCTAAGTTTAACAAAAATATTACGATGTACTAAGTTTGGACCAAATCGGATACTCCCTTCGAGAGTTATCGTGCTCACCACCCAGCCAAACAGACAGACGGACGTCGCTAAATCGACTCCAAATGTCCTGAAATGGATTTCGCCCAAAGAGACCTAGGGTCTAAAGCCATTATTTCGACTAGGCACGTTTTGGCCGTATCAAATGATACATACCCTCTATAGCCATATGGGTGAGGGTGTAAAAACGTACAGCATTCAAAGTCCTGCCTGCCATTCGCCGACCCTCTACGAACAAATTTTGGACTTTCATCAAAAGCTACATTTTCATATAACTTTCCTCTATTCTTCTTTATAAATATTTTTCGGCATTATTTGCTTATTTTTCTAGCGGTCACAAAGCTACATTAAAATCCACTTGAAAATATGTATTTTTCCATTTTCAAATTAAATATTACGGCATATTATTGTTGAATGTATAACAATTTGGTAGTAGTCTAAACAATTTCTAATTTCGTTCCTCTATTTACAAATCGTGTCGATTTATTATGGCTAGTCTGAACACAGCTTTATAGACTGAGGAGATTTTATTTGAAATCCCGGACACTATGTTCAAGTTCTTATTAACTGGCAGCATTGTTGAAAATCGATGTATTGGTAAAATTGACAGATTGGCTGTTTCCAATATTCTCTTCTCTCTCAGCCATTAATGAAAAAGAGAGAATAACAGAAAAAAACTACCAAATGCAGGGAGAGAATAACAACAAAGCATCCATTCATAGATGGGTATTTTTTCATAATTGTTTACGAACAATGTTGGTACGAACGATGTCAGTGCGTCTGTTTGTGGGTTTGTGTTGGCCGAATGGTTTGACGTGCACGCAGAGTCCGTCCATATGTTTGGCGGAAAATAAAATAAACGACCAGCTGGGTCTTTTCAAACAACATGCACACAACAGTAAATGTCTCTCCCAAACAGCCAGTGGAGGGCTGTGTGTGTGCGTGTGAGTGAGTGCGGGTTGTTTGGTATCTACATTTGCTCATTTGGCCATTTTCCTGACTGCATTTTCACATTTCGATACATTTATTGTCGGTTCTTATAGAACATTTGTATTACTACGAGTGAGTGTGTGTGTACGTGAGGATGTTAGGTTGTGTGTGTTTTCGGTAGTGGGTCTGTGTGTGTGTACGTGTACGTGAAAATATGTGTTCAAGTGTTTTAAAGTATTTTTTAGCACTCTTCTGCTTTTGTTTGGTGGTTACTTTTCAATTATTTTCAGTACAATTTTGCGCGTCGAAAGAGCTTAACAACAGGTGGTTGGCTGCCTGCTTCTTGTGGTGTTTCAATACTGTGTGTTCCTATTTTCAATTTTGTTCATGAATTAAATACATATAAAAATATAAAAAACAACAACAAAATATCTTAGAGATTAGGTAAAAGTGGGCAGTATTAGGAAAGGTCCGAATATTGTTGTGCCAAGTGACCAAATTTTATAACGAAAGTACAAATTTAAGGTGCCTCCTGCAACAAGTACAAAGTATACCACAACAACAACAAAACCAAACCAGTTCTAGAAGTCAGCTGTTGGCTATTTTAGCAAACGAACCCACACACACACACAGACAGACACATACTCATACGCTTACGAGGAAGGCAATCATTGACATTGATTTGTTGTCTGTCGTTGGTGCTACTAAAAATTTACTTGTGCGAAAGTGTATCCCAACACAGATAGTCGCCTGTGGACCTGGGTGAATTTGGCTGTTCCTACCAGCGGGAAAAAAGAAGTTACTCTCGCGCGCTCTCCCTCTCTCTCTCTCTGTCTTCTGTTTACTTTCGGATGACTGCCTGGGTGTTCTCGCAGCCCCCTACTGCTGTCGCGCCGCTGCTGTTTACTAAATGTAAAGAAATGTGAACGTGCGGATCGCCGCCATATCAGCTGGTTGTTTGCCTGGTTTGCTGAACTCACTCCGTCTGCAGTCTTGTTTGGAACCGTGACCATCGCGCACAATTTCACACTGGCACACGAAACGGGTTATAAACGAATTTTAAAGAACTGAAACCACAGACTGTGATGTAAAGAAGAACAAGTAAGAAAAGCAAACGTATAGCAGAATGTGCGAAAACGAGAACAAGTAATTTTCCAAATTGAAATAAGTGATAACAAAAAAAACAAGAATTTCAATTCCAAAAAACCAAATGGCTGTTGAAACATTCATATGTAGGTAGGCCTATTTGAGAATTGAGAACTACAAATAAATTTGAAGCTATCAAAAAAAAAACAAAAACCTCTACAAAGGAATCCTTTTGAAAAGCAACAAAGTGACATCATCGATCGATAGTTGCAGAAATTGCTCGCAAAAGCGTCGAAGTCTCAAAGCCAACGATGTCCAAATATGCAGTGCGGAAGTGACACACGTCTATCTCAACACCCAAAATCACAAAAGTAGAGTTAGCAAGAAAATCGATCGTTGTACAACTGTCTCCCAAACCGGAACACCGCCCGTATCCCCACCACCGTCCGTCTGTCTCCGATTGTTACAAAATCCAAACAAATCCAATGAAAATGTAAATAAATGAAACACAACAAAAACATAAAATAAATACAAATGCCTACAAAAATAATGTGTATACCAAGCAGAACCAAGTGAAATTGTGTAAACGGCAATAGAACGTCGAACGACGACAACAAAAACAAAAGAAACAACACCGAAGAACAAAAGCCGATACTTTTTTCGATTTATTTTCAAAACAATTCTAATATCAGTTCAAGTGCGTGAGTGCGTCTGTGAATCGCGGCGTTAGTAGTGATAGTTCAATAAACAAATTAAAACAGCAACAACAACAAAAATAATAACGCCAACAATTATCATCGTCCAACAATGAAGCCACAATCTACAACGAAGAAGGTAGCCCCCGATGGCGGCTGGGGATGGGTAGCCTGTTTTGGTGTGAGTCTGGTCAATGTAAGTAGTCCTCCAACCAAGCCTCTTTGTGTTTGTTGCTAATCCAAGCGTCAACAACAAAGAACACCAACAGACGCTTTGTCTCATTTTATTGTCATTCATCTGCTACCGGTTCTGTCTCACCTAGTTGTTGTTACAGTAGTGAGCAGCAGCAGCTATGTCGTTCTTATCACATAACATATGCCTATGCATGTACCTGTCCACCCCGGGGTGGCGTAGTAGAACAAGGGATGTCTTCCACTTCCAGTTGTTAGGAAAGGGTGTAATTTCGTTTGAAGCCATCAGGGTGATCACGCTCATAAAACGTGATTTTCAAAATCGAATGGAAAAATTCCATTTTGTGTTTTGCTTTGTTCTTTTATCCAAATTCATTTCAGTCTTTTGCTTCGTGTGCTCGTTGTATGAAGAAGCCCAAGAACCCAACACCATTTGTATCCGTCATACCTATATGCACCCAGCGAAACATTTCGGGTGACACAGTCAAACATGGTTGTGTATTTGAACATCAATTTTCAGCGGTTGCTTCTTGGGTAGGTCAAACTTTATGTACCAGTTTGTACTGTATTTGAGAGGAGAGACTTTAGTTTTAAACATTTTGTAAAAAGTCTCTATGTGCCAACAGAAAATATTTATGTCTTCCCGCTCTTAGCTGGAATGTTCGCTGGGTTTGTTGATTGTCTGTGTGTGTGTGTTTGTGTACGAATGGAAAATGCAATTAAATATCAAAGAGATCATGAAATCCCCACACAGAGGATGCACACACACACACACACGAATACAACAATTGAAGAAATGTGCAACGTTCTGTCCTCAATTTCCTACACATTGTTGTTGCCAAGATGTTTAAAAGAAACCAAGAGTAAAAATATGACTTCAGCTTTTGTTTCAACAAAGAATGCAAAACTGGAAATCACAAAATGTGTGCTCACGCAGTCATATTTACACTTCCATACAAATCCTTTCAAGGACATTTGATAAACAAGTTTTGCAATGCATGCCATGGAGCTCTTGCCAACGATTTAGCCGCTCTATGTCTTCCACTAATTGCCGAGACATTTACTACCTGCCTGACTTTGTGTGAAATTCTTATAGGCATTCGTCATTAGCGTTTAAATATTTAAATCCAAATTAGAGGCTAATGGAAAATAAATTGTAAATAGGAATTTTGCCCTACCTGGTATTCAATCTATTGTCATACAATTATAGAGAAAATACTCGATTCTAATCGGTCTTTTAAAGCGGCACCGACCGATTTTAAGTATTTTGAAAGTCCTTACCTCATTTTCTAACCGGAATAACCGGAATGTTTAATTATTCGTATATTCACACTTATTTTTTGTTTTTAATGAAGCATACTCCTCATGAGAGGCGAACGCACAAACATTTAAATAGTTAATTCCTTTCCAAAATAACCAGGTTAACCCGAAAAAAATCTCTAAATTGTCGTGCTATGAGAATATACAGGGTGAGATAAAAACTGCAAAAAAGTCAAACCCCATAATTTTTACATTTTTTTAAATTTATTAAATGAAAGCAAAAAATGTAGGAAATAACATCAAATTTTAGAATAATTTTAGATTTGTTCGAATTCGTCACCTTTGGCATGATTTATGGCCTTCAAACGGCCAATGAAACCCTCACACGCTGCCCAAATATTGGTCTGCAGTATTTTGACCCATTCCCGGCGAGGCGCTTGTTTGTGGTGATCGACATTTTGGTATTTTTTTGTGCCAACCTTGCTTTCAAATATACTCCAGACACTATAGTCCAACGAATTGGTATCCGGAGACTTCGGTGGCCATTGTGCGGGGTGGCTGAGTTCTGTTGGAATATTCAAGGTCTGCGGTCAAAATATTTGCGTTCAATACACCCTCCAGAATATTTTCGCGATAACATTCGGCATTTATTCTGATGCCACGGTCGATTAATACGAGCGGACAGCACCCATCGGCTATTATGGCGGCCCACACCATCACCATGGCCGGCGCTTGTTCTGGTGGCCAACAGAAGGTGCACATTTTCAGCAGACCTCTTTGGCAAGTAAACAGGATCATTTTGTTTGTTTACAAACTGCTGGACTACGAATGTTTTCTCATCGGAGAGAGCCAAAGCAACTCTTTAGCTCTTTTGAGTCTATTTTCTTTCTGTTGCGGTGTAAGTTCTTGCACTTTTTGGAATTTCAATGTCTTTACCCCGAACAAATTTCTCAATATTTGCCGAATGGAATATTGCGATATGTTCAGCTCACGAGCCATTTTTCGGCCACTGTGACGCGGGTTTCGATCAAGTCGCTTCTTTACTTTTCTAACCATTTCTGCTGATGTTGCTGTTTTCTCCTATCCACTTCCTTGACGTCGGGCTACGTATCACGGTAACGAGACACAAAAGATTTATTCACATTTAAATGCTGGAGTGCTCTAACGATAGCCACTTGTGGTTTTCCACCCAAATATAAAGAGATCACACTATCAAGCTTGAATTCCATCACCAATAACTTTTTTTCTGGAAAGTCCTCACCAAAATGCTCTTGTACGCTTGTAAACAATATAATAAGCTGTCACTGGAATAATTTTAACAGCTGTCGGGCGAGTGGCCTAGAAATGACAGCAGTTGGTTGCGGTTTTTTCATCTCACCCTGTATAGCAAAATATTTACAATCTCATATATCAATGAGGGGGTGTTAGTTAGATCGGTTATAACTCAAGAACGGCTGGACGGATTTAGACATTTTTCGTAAATTCGGAATGGGTCCGAAATGGGTAGAGTCAGAATTAAAGCCTACTGTTGTTTAAGATGTATATTTAGGGGTTCAAATGGACCAAATATTAAAACTTTCCTGATTTTGCAGTGGCTTTACAGGTCTCAATTAAAAACCAATCAATTCGGAATTTTGCATGAGGTTAGGGTTTAGGACAGCGCAGAAGTGTAACATTTTGAGCGACCCTCGAATTATACTTAGCGGGTAAAATGGACCACAATATTGTGTGAAATTGTTTTGGATACCTATCAGCGCGACATAGAGTGTAAATATAAGGAAAATATGGCATTATTTTTGGACCTTAGGATGTTGTCTATTATATTATAGTGTTGTAGGGTATCACATGGTCGGCCTCCACCAATATAGCCTTTGCTTACTTGTTTTAATCTTTGCTCAATCGATTAGACAATAAATTAAATTCTTTCAATGGTGAACGACATAAAAAGATCGCTCTGCCAGACATAACTCCTTCGTGATTGCAAGCTTCAAATAAAAAAATTACCGAATGCGAGGTTTAAATTCATTTTAAGTACACGGCCCAGGTTCGCGTGTATTAATTCGTACGTTGGCGCCATACTTGTATTTTACAAATTTCGTTACCAGGTCCTAGGAAAAGATTTTGTGATAGTACGAGTATGTGCAATTTATTTCATCAGGTTGGTTATCTGTATTGCCATGAAAGTAATAATATGTTAATACCCAGTGTGGCAATTCAAATAGAATAAGCACTTATTTTAAATAAAATGTCAGTTCGACTGTAATTCTTCTTTAAACATAGGCAATGTTGACAGTTCTTCGTTTAACTATCTAATAAAAATATTAAAAAATATTGTTTTCAAAGAATGTGAATGAAAGTTTTCAATTAATTCCAATTCTTTATTGATCCACTTATAATGGCTTAATGTTCAGATTGAAATAATTTTCGGAAACATTCACTTTATTTTATTCATATTGATTCTTTTTCAACACGTTTTTAATGGGTAAACATGATTTCATCATCGGTGTATGAATACAATCCATGATCACACTTAAAAAACGTGAGAATCAACCGATGGGGTAGCTGAACCGGTCTTTTAGGACAGCATGCTGGTGACTGTTACCCAGAACAAAAAAAAAACAAAATTTCGAACGAAATTAAAAAAAATATATATGCAAGTGGAGAAATCTAACAATAACAATTAGCCCGAATAGATAGGAAGAACCCACCGGTTTTGTTCAAAATTATACGCAAATAAGTATAAGGGTGTGTAGAAAAAAAGTTATTTCGGTCTTACGACTTTTACAAACGCCAAGATATCTAACTTTGAAAATATTAAAAGCCAAATGGATGTAGTGTGTCAATATCATTTTCACAATGCAACATTTAGTAATTCTTATTCAACACAAACAATACTAAATCTTGAGTATTCAAATTCATAATTTTGAAAAAATTTCCGATTTCTTACAGAAGTTGGCACAAGATGTCACGTCCAACGTGTCACATTTGTTAAGCACCACCACGACCTATCTGTGCAAATAAGTTAAAATCGGATGTTTTTGCCGCTCTTCAAAATGAATTTTGTCAGAAACCGACAATGGTACTAGTTAAAAAAAGGTTTCTAATAAATGCTTTATCTCTGAATGGAATATGTCGTTCAGAATACTTTTATGCACAAATCAGATTGTACGTAAATTCAATGTCAGTCCACTGAAGTGACTAGCTAATTCTGATACAATTGCTGATAGCCTGACATTTGTCAGCGTATTTTTTCTTTTTTCTGGGGATATTTTGATTATCTTTTTGAGCTAAAATAAAACATTTTATTGGGCTTTTTTGCACTGAAGGTCTGCACTCTTAGCAACCTGCGACAGTCGAAACCGATTAATTGACTCGTCACAATAACCCAAATAGATTATTTGGGTTATTAACAGAAAAAAAAAAGCCATAATAAACAGTAAAATATTGTTTTTAAATAAATTGTTTTATCTTTTTTTTTATTTTTTTAATACTTAACTGTTTTTACAAGAAACCCCACTGGTGATTAATTTTTAATTGGTGATACCGTATTTTCCATTGCGGGCACTGAACTTATTTGTGTATTCTCTGAATTGATATGCAATGCAGCACTGCCAGTGAATCCATTTAAGAGTCATTCCAAAGCTACACTTGGTAACAAAACTTGGGCAATGCAATGTTGACGATCTTAACGGTTAAGAGATGTTAGGATCATTTGATTGTTTTCTTAAAATTCAAAATAATTCG